AAAAAACTCTAATATAATTTTATATTAATTTTTTTCATATTATTTATATGATATTATAAATATACTAATTATTATGATGATGATAATTGAAAATATTAAATGATATTGGTGTTTTAATAAATTTTTATGTATTTATTTAAATTTATAATTATATTTAAAATAAATATAAATAAAAAATATTATATATCATTGGCTCAATGAGCCGGCTCGTTCAGATCGGAAAATTGGCGAGCGATCTGAGCCGAAGTTTTTCTGGCTCGTTAGAAAACGAGCCTAACGAGCTGAGCCCAAAACGATCCGAGTCAAATGATCCGAGCCCAAAATGATCCGAGCTGGCTCGTTTGACACCCCTACTTATTAGTAAATAAATAAATAAAATAATATTTCCAGCAAATATAGGCATTTTATTTTGAGGGAAAAAAAGATAATAGTACAATTGGCGCGGGAAATGATAAAATAAGATTAGCCCAACTTCTAAAAATGTAGGGCCATTTGGATTCTGGCTCCGAACTTTTCATAGGCCTATAAAACTATGGGCCACTCCAAACAAACCAGGCTACAAATTGTTTCCAGTCCAATAAGCCCACATCAATATCAGGGCATATACTGCATGCATGTATGTATATATGTATCATATATGTATGTATCGTATGCATGTATGTACTTCCACGTGAGATGTGGAGTGGAATATGGGATTTTGTCGATACGGAAGATCGACAATGGATTCAAATCTGGTCACCCTCGCTTATTTTAGTCAAATATTTTACAAGGAAAAAATATACTTTTTTTCCGGTCACAGCGGTGGCCTGTGACGCAGCATGTGGCGCAGCCATTGGCTCGCTGACCAAGGGGTCACAGCGGTGGCTCTTTGGGTCTGCGGAATGCAAATAAACCAAAGCTCACACGCATGAGCATGCAACACATATATAATAGGTAAATCAGCCGTAACTGACAAGCGACAGGTGAACGGCTGGAGTCGAACTTCCAACCTCTCAATATGTAAGACGTGCTCCTGCCAACACCTGGGGGTTTCCAGAAAAAAATATACTTGATCTGATACTATAATACTTCACAAAAATAGACCTTATTACAACGTGTTCATTTGGGAGTTTCTACTCTATGTATGTAGACATGTACGTGTCAAGTTTGGTTACATTTAGCAATAGAAAACGACTGACACATATATATTATTACAAGATCTACTTCGTAAATATAAATATGTAATAATAAAAAAGGTGGTGAATAGCTTCTTAGTCGAACAAAATCAACACATCCTACGAGTAATGGATCCAAACAATTTTATTACCTGTAATGATAGTTTTTAGGGACAAACTTAATTTTAATATAGAACATTTCACAATTTTATTTAAATGGGCATGACCATTTCTACAGAAATATATGGATCCGGATATAGCTTTTATACGTAATTTTTAATGTTGCAACGTAAAAGTGAACACATTGACAAATTACATGGTAAGGAGAGGGGGAGAGCGATTTTTCTTATATGATATTATAATCATATGATTAACATAACCTTTGTTAAATCGAGTAATCGCATTCATATATATGTATATAGATGCGTGTCCATTACGTAGTACGTAATCACGTGCCTCCCATCCCCGCTATAAAACCCTCCATTCATCTCTCTATCTCGCCCAGAAATACATTGCGTATAAATACGCCCACACATCTGCACGTATACGTATAGAGAGCGATGGCGTACTGGGGGAGGCGGAGAGGATACCAGAGACTGGATGGGACGTCGGGTAAACGGGCCGAGTTGGACCCGAATCCGACCCGTAAGAGGATGAAGAGAGTGTGGAGGGTAAAGATAATCCCGAAGCTGAGAATATTAAAGAGGGCGTCGCCTAAGAGGATTCTTGTCTGGCTCCGAGACGCATACGTCAACATGATGCTTCGGCTTGCAAACTCTCGGGTCGTCGGAGCATCCGGCCACGTCGGATTCGGGGCCGAGTCGGGTCCGGTTCTCAAAGAGTACGACGAGAAGGTACTGGTGGGGGTTTACAAGTCGATTTTGATGGTGCAGGGGAATTCGGTGCACCACGACGCACCCAAACTTGCCTCCGTTCTTGCCTAGCCCGTGAGCGAAACTGTTACCGGTTATTGTGGATTCGATTTAGAATTTTAATAAGGCGGGGCCCAGTTGAACATTAAGTTAAATATGATAATGTTTGTTTTGTGTTCCAGGGATTGGTCCGACAATTTTTTGTGCTTTGAAATTCTTATCTTACGTTATAAGGTTTTATACAATGACGAATTTTAAATATTATAACGCACAGAAATGAATGCTTCATTCATGCATCGCTGACATCACGTGAGCGTCATCGCTGACATCTCCTGAATAATAAAAACTTTCAGCATCAATTATTACCTTCGTCTCGTTAATCGTCAACTAATTTATAAGTTCGCATTCTTGGTAGGTAAAGCAGTACACTACACGTATATATGTATGATAATTATATAACTGAAATAAAGTTAAACTGTAATTTGCGTGTATTAAAATAGAAAAATTAATGCCCCCAATTGGAAAATAGATATGGTAAAGTAGATGGAAGTGTACTTCGATTGGGTGTAAACCGGTGTATTGTAGACACACACCGCGAGGGTATAAAAGGCAAAAATCTTTTAAGAGGGCTGTGTTATGGGCTGAAATTCAAATAGCGGGCCTCATTCCGTATGGGCCTTTACCTTTCTGCATGTAGCCGAACGTTGATCGATCACATGGAGTTTAATGGTGCGGTCCACTACGGATCCATCCCAAACATTTTTTTCTCCGCTGCCCACACATCTGAATCTATTACATATAGTTATTATATGGAAAATATTATGTTTAACCGCAAAAAAAAATAAATTAATATTCACAACCAAAAATATATCTGTTATGATTTTGAGGAGTACTAATATACCATTGACATGAAATCCCTTCGCCATCAACAAAACTACGTACATGTTCCCTTCGTGATGCTTAATTGGAATTTAAAATGCCCGGTAAATATATTTTATATAAAAGGCTATGATTAGAATCTTAACATTATTTAATCTATATATATCTATATATATATATATATGTGTGTAAAAATAACATAAATCAAGGCTCAAATAACACATACGAAATTACGAGCCATCTCCCTCGAGATGAGAATATAAACTATTGAGATTATATATGTGGTTGTCCTTGTTGACCAATATGAAGAAATTACTTGCATAACCATCTTTGAAGTTATTTTCCTATAATTTATTGTTCTCTATTTCTTAAAATTTGACACTTCAACTGTAACGCTGTGATATCAATTATTTTTTTTCTATTTTATAATAGTTTTATCTATTAGACAAAAAAAAAGTATGAGCAACTATTGAAGGTTCCACGTCTAGAAAAATACAAGTGCACAGCTGTTGGAAAACACGAGGCGTGTGATGACGACGACAATAACAAATAATAGATTATAGAAAAATCAATTTAAACTATAATTTCCTCTATAAGTGTATAAGCGTCTTTGTCTCATCAAAAGCATTTTAAAAAAAAAACAGATTTCACGAGAGTTCCAACGGTTCATGGGTTTCATTTGGTCCGAAAACATCTTGTATGGTAAGGGTGGACACGAATCAGATACCAAAAAATTTGAGAGTATCTAGAAATTTAAAGATATCCAAATCTGAATCCGAATGTCTCATTATTTATTTTATTATCCGAATCCATATCCGTGAAATCGGATATCCAAACTAAAAAATCCGTGAAATAATTATTGGATATCCACGGATATCCGAACCCGAATATTTATAATTATTTTCAATTATTTTTTTTAAAATATATTTATATATACATATTCAAAATCATTCAAAATCAATTTAAATTATATTTTATGTCCAAAATAAAATTATTTTTAAAAAATACATCATAAATATATCCAATAATATCTATATAATCATTAATATCAAATAAAATAATACAAAACTAATAAAAAATCTAAAATTTAAAGAGTAATTTTTTATTATCCCGATATCCGCGGATACCCGTGAGATAATATCAATTACCCGAATCCAAACTCGAAAATTCGGGTATTCTAATATTAATATCCGATCTCGTATCTCGTTCTTTCGAATATTCAAAAATTCGAGTATCCGACCCGTAGTCGGATCGGGTATCCGAAATTCGGATTTTTTTGTTCACCCCTACTATATCCATATCAAAATAAACAAATAAAATGGTATTTGCCATTTTTTATAATTGGACAAAACAACTCTTCATTAACTTTTTAACCAGACAACAAACCCAATACAACATAGAGTGCTTCTATGTTGATTATGTTAGTCCGATTAAAATCATAGATTAAATGGAGATTACACATAAAATTAGTAATCGGAACATTAAGTTAAATTTATAAACGATTAACTAATTATTTGCTAATTGAACAACTAATCCATGCAGAAAGAAGTAAACCGGTTCAGTTTAATCTGGTCGGTGGTCAAAAAAGTAACCGGTGGCATTCGGTAAGTGAAATGACTCGTTAACCACTGAACAGTAGAAAATCCAAATTACGAGAGCGTGTGACGCATACGGGATCCAGATAATCAGACCAATAATCCCATTATCCAAATCAAAATATTCTTAAAATGTTGAAATAAATGAATATACTAGAAATTGAGAAAAACCCCCCATTAAATAAATCCGGACAGTGTATAGCATATACTATTGAATTTATTTTTTCTTTAAAAAGGGAACGAAAACAAAATGTTTGTGGATATATATGAAAGAATAATTATTAAATATAAATGGAAATATACACTTTGAAAGTAAAATGGCCGTGCAGAATCAAAGGACGACGAACTTGCGATGATTTGTTTCCATATACATGAATATAAGTTTTGATAATATGTGTATAAAATTTAATTAGGCAGTCCAGGGAATATAATTTTCCATTATTAGCCAAGTAATAACTATAACAGGTCTGTTTGGCTAACGAGAAAATGAAGGAAAATTCCCTCTCCTCTTCTCCTCTTTCAATCACTCCGTGCCGCATTCCCCTGTCTCTCTCTCCTCCATCTCCGTTTCTCTCCGTCGTCGTCAGGGGAACCGGGGCTAAAATAGAGAGAAGAAGGGGAGGAGACAGAGAGAGGAGGGTAAGGTGTCGCACCGTAGCAGCGCACCTCCTAACGTGCGCCCTCTTCTTCCCTTTTTCCATTTTTCTTCTTCTTCCTGAGGGGAGGTCGCTTCGATCCCACGGCTTTTGATTCCCCCAGGGAATAAAATTTTAAATTCTCATTTTAGCTTCGTTGCCTTAATTTCTGTGCGGCGAATTTCAATTCTGGCGGACCTCAGAAGAACCCTAGATTTCCCCCCGTTCGTACCTCGCCTCCATCGCCGTTGATCGCTGGTTCGATTTCAAATCCAGCAGGAAGAAGCGGAGAGGTCCCAGGATGCCCTGGATCATGCGTTTCTCTGGCTTCTTCTCCGCCGCCATGGTTGTGGTCGTTCTCTCGCCGTCGCTCCAGTCGTTTCCTCCCGCCGAAGCCATCAGATCCTCCCACCTCGACGCCTACCTCCGCTTTCCGGCGTCCAACCTCCCGCCGCACCGATACTCCTTCAGGAAGGCCCCAACGTTCCGCAATGCGGCCGATTGCGCCGCCGCCGACGGCGATTCCGGCGTCTGTAATCCCTCTTTGGTTCACGTCGCCATCACTCTCGACGCCGAGTACCTCCGCGGTTCCGTTGCCGCCGTTCATTCCATTCTCCAACACTCGGCGTGCCCCGAGAGCGTCTTCTTCCATTTCCTTGTATCGGAGACCGATCTCGAATCCCTGGTTCGTTCCACTTTCCCCAAATTGAAGTTTAAGGTTTACTATTTCGACCCTGAGATTGTTCGGAGATTGATCTCAACGTCGGTGAGGCAAGCGCTCGAGCAACCGCTGAATTACGCTAGGAATTACTTGGCCGACCTCTTGGAACCTTGCGTGCACCGAGTGATCTACTTGGATTCCGATCTTATCGTCGTCGATGATATAGCCAAGCTGTGGAGGACGCGGTTGGGTTCGAAAACGATCGGAGCGCCCGAATACTGCCATGCGAACTTCACCAAGTATTTCACATCGGCTTTCTGGTCGGACGAGCAGTTTTCCGGCGCGTTCAGTGGAAGAAGACCGTGCTACTTCAACACGGGGGTGATGGTGATGGATCTGGACAAATGGAGGCGCGTGGGATACACGAAGCTGATTGAGAAGTGGATGGAGATACAGAAGATCGACCGGATCTACGAGCTTGGGTCTCTGCCGCCGTTTCTGCTGGTTTTCGCCGGAGAAGTATCGCCGATCGAGCACAGGTGGAACCAGCATGGACTGGGCGGGGACAACGTGAGGGGAAGCTGTCGGGACTTGCATCCCGGTCCGGTGAGCTTACTCCATTGGTCGGGCAGTGGAAAGCCGTGGTTCAGGCTGGATTCGAAACGGCCGTGTCCACTCGATACCCTCTGGGCACCGTACGACTTGTATGGACAGTCGCGCTGAGTCATCTTCATCGCGTTCGGTCACTGCGGCGGATTAGTCAGCTGGTAAATTCTCTCGTCTCAGAACTATTTTGCTCTTAAGTTATCTTTTACGGCTTACTCCATTATTCTTTCTTTGCCGGTTCTTCTCGTTTGGGGGGTTTTCTCTCCGAGTTTCCGATCTGGGATTTGTTCTTCATCGATTATTTCCCCACCCTCTTCCTCTGTATTCTATTCGATTGTTCTTCTGTGCATGAAAATAAAAAAGAGTAAAACCAGAGGTATATTCAGTTTCGTTGTACAGATTGTATACCACAGGTGTTCAATTCAATAAACATCTCCCATTACTCTTTTTTTTTTTTTCTTTCCTTAGCTTATTAGCATCGATTTGGGATATCCTCTCATAGAGGAGACATTGCGTCTTCTGTTCTGTAACCATTTTGTGGGTTTGGGAATCAAAACATGAATCTCTCTATGGAGATTCTCGAAGCCGCCGAGTGACCGTGATCGTAGCCTCCCTCGCTCTCTGGTTTGCCAATCTTGCGAGCTCGGTTCATGTTATTAAACGTTGGATGCGGTAAAGAGGTGTTCATTTCATTTACCAACGAAAAAGAAGAGAAGAATTGAAAAGATTCATGAAATGGCCGTAGCAAAAGAAACAAAGAGCCAATGTAAGGTGGGAATGTGTCGGTCGGTTTCTCTCGGAATTAGTTTTCCCATTTGATTAGAGAGAAAGACTCACTCTCACTCACTCATTGACACATTATGTCTCTGTCTTCCTTCCGTTGCTCTTGTAAACTAATAAAATAAAAATACCCTCTTTTTTTCTTTTTTACTTGAATCACATTTGTTATATCGCATCGTGGGTTTTGTTTATACGTTTCTTTGGTTGATTGATTTGGAATTTGACGAATCTGTATTCATTTGAGTGGTAATGCCTTTATTCGTCCCCCCCCCCCCCAAAAAAAAAAGAAACTATGGTATATTCCAGCTCTCTATAAATCTCTCTTTATTTGCGTATTTGTTACGGAAACATTGATTATAATAGATTAATAGGTCGATCACGGAAAATAGGGTAATATTTTTTTTTTTGGCGATTTGATTGTTGACGTGCCTTTTTTTTTGCCCTTTTGGTAGAGGTGGCATGTGTGATGTGTTGCTTGGTAAGTGTACAAAGCGAAACAATTCCCTATTTTTTTTTAATTTCTCTTTTTGGTGGTGGGCCCTTCGCCCGGGTTCCCCTGGCAGCCCACGTGGCCACTTGATGTAACCCTCCGGTGGAATCAGCTGGTTCCATGTGCTCCCACCACCACTTCCGTAACTCAATAATAACACTGGCACCATCACCATCACCCACGCCCAAATTATCATTCCCAGGGTTGGCTCTTATTGATATAAAAATAAATTCACATCGAAATGAACTCATCATACATTAATGGGTCAGCATTCAAATTTGAGACTATGGTTTTATTAGGTTACAATGGCTGTCCTAAATTGTTCATATAATTATTACACGACACAGAAAAATAGTGGTGTGGGGTTGGTAGAGATTTATAAATTAAGGTTTTGGTAATGAAATGAATGGGACATTGCAACTGATGCTTGGACCGACAGAAGGGTTGGGTAATTTAAAAGTATGGCTTTCCATCATAACATTATTTATCTCTTATAATTAAATTCCCACAAATTTCAATTTGATTTTACACCGACGGCGATGGATATATATATATTGTTGATCAAGTCACCAAGCTCCTCTCTTGCCTTCTTTGTGTACTTTTCGGTGCCGGATGGCCCATTTTGATTCATTGTAACGGATAGACATTTATTATTTCCTTTCTTTTCTTTGTTGCTTTGCCTTGACTTATCCACATAAAAATAGATGGCGTTTATGCATTTTTTCTTTCGTTTTTTTATAATGGAGTAATATATATATATATATATATATATATATATAGGTAAAGGAGGCCTTGCTCAGATTCAAGCCCATCTGTACTTATATAAAAGCCCATATTAAAGGCCCACCTAAGTATCCGAAAGGGAGTAAATTGGATATTAAGAGTTTGTACTTAAAATTATAAAAAAGGGATTTATAGTTCAAGTTAACGCGACGGGACCAAGGCTATTAAGTTTTAATTTTAATATTTACTAAAAAAAATTAGAGCATCGGGAAAAAAAATTCAAATCAATAAAGGAATGGGAAAATTTTAATTCTCATACTCCCTCTCTTTCAAAACATCGTCCCCTGAAAAACATGGCGGTTGTTCTGTTCTCTTCGATCCCATCGATCTTCTCGTACTGACCTCTATCGTTATCCTGAGAGTTTAGAAATAAACCCTAACTCGCCGGGTTGACTCATTTATCGAAGGGGCGGGCAGTATCACGACGACTCGGCCGTCACCAAATTGCGCAAGTTGTTGCGGGATCCTTCTCGGCAATGCGACGCTGGTTCGCCGCGAGATCTCACTCTCGAGAGGAAACCACATTTTCATCCTCGTCGATTAAAGCCTTCGCGCGTTTTCAGGCTCTTCTCCGTTCAGATCGCAGGGATGTCCAGTTATTCCCATGGCCCTAGTCCCAGGGGTCTCCTCTGCAATGCCGGCGCCGGTGCCGCCGCTGGTATGCCTTTATTCTCTTCATTCTCGTTGATTCTGTTTGTTTAGCAGGAAAATTTGTGGTTGGTTGCAGAACTTATCATAGTTCGACAAAACAACTCAATCGTTTTTGTCCATTTAAAATGGAATTATGCATGATTTGGTGATACTTTATCAAAATTCGATTCAGGGGTAATTGCGGCTACGTTTGTGTGTCCATTGGATGTTATAAAGACGAGGTTTCAGGTTCATGGGCTGCCAAAGCTTGGTGATGGAAGCACCAAAGGTTGGTTTTTTCACCCATAATAGGAATGCCAGCTCAATCTGGAAACTTGTTCTGTTGTTATGGATCTTTTTGGCATTTTTCTTATATTAGGATGGCGGGTGTATTGTCTTTTGGTCAGGTAGTCTTATTGTTCGTAGTTTGGAGCAAATCTTTAAGAGAGAAGGGATGCGTGGCTTGTACCGCGGGCTTTCACCTACAGTGATGGCGCTTCTTCCAAATTGGGCTGTATGTTATGCTTCTTCTTGCTCTAGATTTACTGTTTTCTGTCGCCTTGTTTACCAAGCACGCCGAAAATATCTCTGATCCTGGATTGTTGGATTCCCAAAGAATCGCATGCCTTAGCGTGTTCATGTTCTAGCGCGGTGCTTTCGTTCTTGAGAGGACGTCGATCGTTTTAGCTGAATTGGCTTTAATTGCTTGCTTGTACTATGTCGACAGATTTATTTTACTATGTACGGCCAGCTCAAGAGCTTCCTCTGTTCAAATGGTCACTCCATGAGCTCAACCTGTCTTCTTAGGGCATAAATAACTGTTTTGCTTCAGTTTTAATTTTGATGCGGAAGTAAATCTTATGGTTTTTTACTTCTCGTTTTTCAATTCAAGTTTACATTTTGATGCTAGCTATCATGTTTATCATTGCTGCTTCTACATATGTAGATGAGGATCGGAAACTTAGTGTCGGTGCTAACATGATAGCTGCCTCTGGTGCCGGAGCTGCAACTACAATTGCCACCAATCCTCTTTGGGTTGTGAAGACTAGGTTTCAGGTCTGCTCTTCCAGCTGCACTCTTATTCTTGCTTGATATGTGCGACACGTGAATCAAGCTTGCAATGTAAATGGTAACAAATTGTTTTAGTGCAAGTCTTTGGGAATTGCCCTGACTTTTGTGTCAAATTGTCAATTCGATTGTACCCTTGTTTGATTGAGGTTTTTATATCAAGATTCAGACAAAAACAATACAGACATGGACCAACCATTTTGTTCTTAACCGAGACACAAATTCGTGGTCGTATAATGGTAGAATCGATCAGCCTTTTGTGCAGCGTTGTGGATGAAAGAGCAACTTTTCCTTGCAGCATGTTTATTTTCGTAAATTATCATGCCATGTTCGGAGAACATCCTTACCCTGTATTTTTTTTTAATACTACTAGCTCTGCCCTTTTTCACAGTCTCAGGGAATGAGAACGGCTGTGGTACCATACAGAAGTACGCTGTCTGCCTTGAGGAGAATAGCTCACGAGGAGGGAATCCGTGGCTTGTACAGGTTTGTTTAAATTGTGTTATATCATTATCATGGTGGTAACTTATTTTCTGTGAATCGTGTAGTGGCTTTGTTAATGTCTTTCTTCTCTTTTGTGTGAGCAACAGTGGTCTTGTCCCTGCCTTGGCTGGAATCAGTCATGTAGCCATTCAGTTCCCCACATATGAGAAGATCAAAATCTACTTGGCTAAGAAAGGTCTCCATAGAAATATCCTTGAAACTTTAATGAAGCAAGAAAGAGGTGAAAATACTTGGGATTATCACTAAAATCTGGTTTTGGCAGGTGATAGAACGAAGGATAATCTTAGCGCTCAAGATGTAGCAGTTGCCTCATCCATTGCAAAGATATTTGCTTCCACATTAACCTACCCACATGAGGTACTTAGCCAAGTAACCAATTCCATTTCCTAAACATTCTTCGGTTCCCCCTTCCATTTCGATAGGTTTAAATGAAAAACAAAGATGCTCATTTTTGAGAACACTCGAGAAATGGATACGTGTCTATCTGTGTTTCAGACTATAAGCTTGGGGATTTGAGTTACAACACATTGGGATGACATCTGTATGCACTTGAAATGGAGCAGGTTGTGAGGGCAAGGCTTCAAGAGCAAGGCCACCGCAGCGAAAAACGATACTTGGGTGTAAGGGACTGCATTAAGAAGGTGTTGGAGAAGGAAGGGATAAAGGGTTTCTACAGAGGATGTGCCACCAACCTTCTAAGAACCACACCGGCTGCAGTAATCACATTCACGAGCTTTGAGATGATTCGCCACTTCCTCTTCACCCATTTACCACTCTGACCCCCTCATCTCATCACACGCTGCAAACCATTTAGATCATTCTCATTCATTGGTCTGATTAAAGACGGTAGGACCTCCTGAACCTCTTTTTCCTTTCCGGGTCTGGAAAATATCTGATGGCTCAATCTGAAAAACCACATATTCATGTAAGAAAAAGGCATAGAAAATCCTGTTGAATGTTATGATTGTGGTTGATGAGATGGTGAAGTTGGGTTTAGTGGTTGGCTTTGTAGACATTACAGAGCAGAGAATGCAGTGTTGCATTGCATGATACAGTGATTATGTGATCTTTCCATCTTCTTTTTCTTTTGAGGGCACGCTGTTCTTTCTCCTTCGCCATGATCGCCCCAACAGCTGGACCTCATTCATGTTACTAAAAGCATTGCAGAGATCTCCTTCTCAAGGGGACCATCCCTCTCTCTCTCTGAAAATATCTTAGATTTTCTACGTAGGCATATGCTGAGTTTGTATGTGTTTTGTCTGAATCTGAAAAAGACCGGCCTCTAATAAAAAGCCCGTATTCCGTGATATTGAAGCCTTGGATCCGAACGGAAGTGTATTGGTGAAGGAACGAGCCACAAACAAAATCGACTAGTAATTAAAAATGATGAGTTGAGTTTTTTTTCTCTCTTCCTTTTCCAATTTCTATCAACAACATGGGATTCTCTCCCTCTTTATTGCTTTGTATTCCATCCACGTATGATGTAAACCCTTTACCCGTTTGTATATATGCATACTTGACACATATATACGTACACCTATGTATTTTCACACACGCCTCTCTCTCTCTCTCTATATATATACACACACACACAAAGTTGAATAATATAGTTTTTAGTGCTTGTGTTGATGATTCTACATCTTCAAATATATGAAAAATTGGATCTCATTCAACACAATAAAAATAACCATTCATCTTAAATGACGGGTGATTATATTATTCATCTTTATAAAAAAAAAAATATTGCAGCTTCCTCCGCTCAAATAATATTTGCAACTCTTCCGCACATATACTGCTTTCTTATATGATTAAGGCGGCAATTACATAACCAAATTACGTAAAATCAATACAAAAAATTTTAGAAAAAAATATTCCCGAAAAGGAAACATATGTAATGGAAGTACAAACCTTTGAGGTGTAGATGGGAGCATGTGATCCAATATTTGTGATTCTCAAAAAGAATGATAATGATGATGTTAGCAGCTGTGGGTTCGGCTTACATGTGAATGTAATATTTATTTATTTATTTTTATTTAAATGGAGTAATATAAAACGACAAGAAACGCATCACCCCTTTCCATAGAAATATAATTAATTTCAAAAAGGAAAGGGTAATAATAATAATAATAACAATGTTTGAATTAACATACGTAATCATTTCACAGGTCGTGATCAAGGTCAATAATCCAACTTAATACACCGTCTTAAATCACGAAAACATGGGTCATTAATGACTTCATTATCTTCGTAATCATGCTTTTATTAAGTGCACTGAACTTAAAACGGATTATATTGAAAAGAACACTTCTAAACACTCGTAGTTACATTAATTAGTTAACGAATTTATTTCTTTTTTTTTAACTTAAAATTTTATGATATATTTCAAATGAAAAGTGAAAAAAAAGTTATTACGTGATATCATATTATAGACTAAAATTAAATATAAGATTGAGATAACAAAAAATATAACTAAATCACAAATGGAAGAAAATGGATTAATGGGAAGCAAAAGATGCTTTGATCCACCAAACTAAAGAAAGGAATTGGAACATCAAACAGTCTTGAAAGTATGATTTAAACTCACATGCTATGTTCCTTCTCTTGCTTATTTTCATATCTCAAAAGTTGTCTTTAGTTGTAAATTCGGATATTTTATATCTTTGTACTCATGGATATTTATACGGCCAATTCTTGTTCGCTTACATTAAATAATTGCTTGCAAATTAAATAATTTTAATATCCATCTACTGTATGTCTGAATTGAATTTTGAATTCAAAACTTTCAATTTTGAAATATAAATCATATTTTAATACTATTCTTGGGTTGGGTGGTTGGGTGTAGACACGCGCCTTAGTGGGCGAGTGGCCTACAAAACGTTGCAGGTGTACGGTGTTATTTAGAATCTTAACGAGCGACACGTAGACCTAGAACGATACGTGGCCTACCATTGTTCGTCCGTCATGAGAACTCCGGTGACAGCCTGTCATGGAAATCAGCGCCGTGCGACGTGGGTCCCGTCAGAGACGCTCTGCGTGGGGCCAGGATCTCCCGCCCGAGCTAGGTTCGGTCCCCGAGCCAAGAATTTGAAATTTTTGAACGTTGAAGCTAACCCACTTATTATTATTATTATTATTTTTCTGATAAGTAACCCACTTGGTCGTCGACAAAAATATTTTCCTTTTGGCTTTTTTCTTCTAACAAATTTCGCTGATATAATCAAAATCTCACCATCCAAGTTTGGTGCGAATATATCCCTTCACATGTAGGATCTTGACACGTGGACCATCCATAGATCTAATTCACCCTAATTATAACAATATTTAATATATGACAATTAACTCCAGTAATTTGATATGACATTTTCAAGGTTAATGCAGTTTCCAAACCATAATACGAGCGTTATAAATTAGATATATAGAATAATAGGATAATCATCACCGTGAAAAATAAGGTGAGATATTAATAATTGGAAAAATTGGGAAAATTAAATAGTGAATGGGATTGGTAATGGTAACAGTTTTTTCAACTAATTGAAGGTACTGGAAAGGAATGTCCCGCCTACCGTTAAGGCTATTAAAAAGATATATCCATTGGATTTGTTTCGACCGGTCGAATATAATAATAATAATAATAATAATAATAATAATTACTTAATTAATTTTATTGATTTGCTTCGAAAGCATTATATAGATTTATAAAAGACACAATAGAACCAAGATGGGGTCAAGACCTATAATCGATGTGGATGTGTGATGAGATCGGACGTTTTCACTTATTAATCTTCCATGAATTTACGAAGTTAAACATAGTTTACATTAACGATGGTTTCTATACAAAAAAAAAAAAAAAATCTCTCATGATTAGGAGTTGGGACCATGATATTATATTTGCATTCAATAACAAAAATAAAAAGCCCAATTTCTAAATTCAAACGAAATGTTCAATAACATTTAACGTTTATTGCATTAAATCTGACTATTTTTTCAAATTCAAACGGTGTAATATTATTCTATTGTTTCACAGTTTTGTCTTACCTAACTGTATGAATAAATTTATTGGTTATAAGTAGAAATTTAAATAAAGAAATATTCGGTCACACCTTGCAGAGTCAATTCGTCTATTTTTTTTGGCATCGTGTAATAAAAAAAGGTGCAGTATATTGGATTTAATGTATATAATCTGATATCCGTATATACATATTTTGATGATAAAATGTAGTCTCAGTTAATAATTATCCATTAAAAAATAATCATGGTCACATAATAAGTAAAACATAACCGGATTTAACCGATGAACTCATAGTTGGTCAGAAAGCCCCGCACCGCAGCGGGATCTAACCGAAAACGATACTCTGCGTGATTTGCACGCGCGGTCGGGGAACCTGAGGTACGTATTTAGTAGGTTGGTTCGGAGACTTTAGAGAGAGGAGGAGCGACAGAGTATAAAGCAGTTAGCTTTACAACCTTTGTATAGAGAGAAAAAAGCGGTATCCATGGAGTCGATCACTATTCTTCTCTATTAATTTACAAAAACCATACCTTAAGTCTCAGCTTCTCCAGAAGAAAAAAGCTTCCCCATTCTCACTCTCTCTCTCTCTGATAATCTCCCATTTGTCTGGGGGTGATTGAAGTTTGGATAGGATCGTTGGGGATCGTTTTGAATTTTGCGGTGATATTGTTCCAGTTCTGGATTCTGGATTTTATTGGATGCTGGAGTTGTGAATTTGTTGGATTTGGGAGCAAGATTGAACTGCGACGGAATTGATGGCGGCGACGGTGACGGCGACGGCGGCGGCGGACGGGACATTGAGATTCTCCGTGGCTTCGGTGGTGGAGGATGTGTTGCAACAGCATGAGAATCCGCTGAGAGATCTCGATTTGGAGTCTCGCCGAGCTGAAGAAGCTGGTAGTTTCCTTGTTGTACCTCTGCCGTAATTTTTCTCTTATTGTTATATTCGCTATCTAACTCAAGTAATCTCGAGTGGGATGATGAACAGAGAATCAGCGTAAAAATCCATGATCTGATTGAGGATGTGTAGTTTTGGAATCTATTTTGTTAATTCCTTAATATCCATTAGACTTCCTCCAATGGGATCCGTATTTGGGAATTAGAAATTCGAACAGTAGAATTGAGCATGTTTTTAGTGTGATTGCTTTAGACAATTTTGTGTAGTCAGTTCCGAAATGAGATGTTGATTCCTCTGTTCCGTGCAGCGTTGAGGAGGAACCAAGCGGCCGGGTGGCTGAGGAAGATGGTTGGAGTGGTAGCAGCCAAAGATTTGCCGGCCGGGCCATAGGAAGAGGTGTTTAGGATTGGTCTGAGAAGCGGAATTATCCTCTGCAATGTTCTCAACAAGGTCCAACCTGGGGCTGTGCCCAAGGTCGGATATCGTCTCTGTCATCATCATCATCATCATCATCATCATCAAGTCTTGAAGCATTTTTCAAATGTCTTAGCTCCTGATTTGTCTCTTGGTGATGTCTTGTCAGGTCGTGGAAAGCCCTTGTGATGCTGCTCTTGTTCCTGATGGAGCACCATTGACCGCATTTCAGTATTTTGAGAACGTAAGGAATTTCCTTGTGGCTGTTCAAGAGATGGGGTTTCCAGCATTTGAAGCATCTGATCTGGAGCAAGTATGTACTCTTTCAATCACGCAGCTTTTAGATTTGCGTTCACTTAGAAAACGCCAAGGCTTTGTAACGAGCGATTTTCTTCATGGTCGACATTCTCAGGGTGGGAAATCTTCTCGAGTTGTGAATTGCGTTTTGGCAATCAAGTCTTATAGTGAATGGAAACAAACCGGTGGAAATGGAGTATGGAAATTTGGTGGCAGCATAAAGCCTCCCACGTTTGGGAAATCTTTTGTCAGAAAGAATTCAGAGCCGTTCATGAATTCTTTATCGAGGAGCTCATCCATTAATGAGAAATCTTTTTCAGAAACTGATTTCAATAAACTGGTTGGCATCGTTTCTGTTTCACACGTGTTTGCGGTTGTCCCAAAGGAACTCTGATGCTTAAAATGGTCTTTTTGCTGTTCTTTGCAGTCCAATTCGGGTTCTTTGAGCATGCTTGTTCGCGCTGTTCTCTCAGATAAAAGGCCTGATGAAGTACCCATGGTGAGTTCTGACCTCTTTGCTCTTTGCTCAGACAAATGTCTTTGGTGTTTCTGTTTCCTCTTGTTACTTGAAGTCTTGTGACATTGTTAAATTCTCAGTTTTTTGCTCATTCCTCAAGCCAATTTGTTGTGGTTACTGCTTTTATGATGTTTTTGTTGCTAATTTTGCGTGGTTGCTTCCTTGTGTCAGCTCATTGAATCAGTGCTAAATAAGGTCGTGGAAGAGTTTGAACATCGGATTACAAATCAGGTTGAGTTGGTAGGTCAAGGAGCTTCTATCTCTTTTTGATTGCTTTCTATGACTCCAAATCTTATCAATCCATTTTCTATCTCTCTCTCTCTGTGATGTGAAGCTGAAAGCAGCTCCAAAATGGTCAACTTCTTCACAGGGAAACAGATTGTCTTCGAGATCTCTTGGTGAAGGAGAGGTGATATACTCGTCCTCCGAGCAAATCTCTTGCTTGTTTGTTTATTAGCATAGATGAGATGTTTTGCTGATTTCTGTGTACTAAAATTCCTTTAGAGGGAAGAGAAAAGTTTCAAAGCTATAAAGAAAGATGACCAGATTCTTGATGAAGAGATGAAAAATCGACTTGTAAAGCAGCAGACAATATTTGATCAACAGCAAAAGGATATTGAGGTAGGAACTCCCCACTTCTAACTTCTTACATTTCTGCGAGTTCACTTAGCTGGTCGGGTTATATTTGTTGTTGGTTTTCATCATATTCATAGGGCTTGAAGCAGACACTCTACACTACAAAGGCTGGTATGCAATTCATGCAGATGAAATTTCAAGAAGAGTTTACTTCTCTTGGTAGAGATTCGGATCCTAATCCCTTTTGTCTTTGCTCCTTGTAATTGTGCAGTCTTGTATTGTGGGTTCATGTATGATAGTTTTGGTTTTCTTCTGGTTCTGTTTATAGGAATGCACATTCATGGCCTTGCTCATGCTGCTTCCGGCTATCACAGAGTTCTCGAGGAAAACCGCAAACTTTATAATCAGGTGCAGGACCTTAAGGGTAAGTTGCATGTTTGCAAAAATCTTGATAACATTCTTTGATGGGCCTTCTTCATTTCGAGCTTATAAAAGATATCTTACTCCTGGAATGAGTAGGAAGTATCCGAGTCTATTGTCGGGTAAGGCCATTTTTGCCTGGACAATCCAACAATTCAAGCAATGTGGCCAACATAGACGATGACACAATCAGCGTTAACACTGCCTCCAAACATGGAAAACTCAAATCCTTCACCTTCAATAAAGTGTTTGGGCCATCTGCCACTCAAGGTACCCAATACGTCTCTGGCTCCTACCCTGTCTCTATGTCTAATTCCAAAGCTTCTAAGCTGTTGTTATATCTGACGTGTATCTTCCTTCTTGTAGCGGAGGTGTTCTCGGACATGCAGCCCTTGATCCGTTCCGTCTTAGATGGGTATAATGTCTGTATATTTGCTTATGGACAAACTGGATCTGGAAAAACATACACGATGGTAAGATAAGAGTTACACTATGACTTGAAGATTGACACTAGAAGAAGCCTCTTGAAATGTTTTCACTTTCTAATTCCTACAGACTGGACCGAAAGATCTAACGGAGAAAAGTCAAGGTGTTAACTACAGAGCACTCAGTGATCTGTTCTTTCTCTCGGAACAAAGGAAAGACACATTCCGCTACGATGTTGCGGTTCAAATGATCGAAATTTACAATGAGCAAGTCCGAGACCTCTTGGTTTCCGATGGAAGCAACAGAAGATATCCTTTTTCATCACTGAACATCTTTCATTAAGTTTTTAGTTATAAAGATCCAAAAATGAAAGCAAAGTATACATTCATAGACGCGTTCAAGACTTTCACATCTTAAATGGTTTATCTGATTGTTTATTATGAATCTGTATTCCTTAACGTTCTTGATACGTTAGAGATCAGGAACAGCTCTCAAACAGGTCTCAGTGTACCAGATGCAAACCTTGTTCCAGTTTCTTCAACCTACGATGTTATTGATTTGATGAGGCTTGGGCACAAAAACCGTGCTGTTGGTGCAACAGCCTTGAATGATCGGAGCAGTCGATCTCATAGGTAATTCATTCTTTTTTCCTGAACAAATTTCAAACGATGAATCTTGATTTCTTATTAAAACAAGGTTTAAATTTACATTTCGATCAAATCCTGCAGCTGCTTGACTGTCCACATTCAAGGACGAGACTTGACTTGTGGAACGATCCTCCGAGGCTGCATGCACCTTGTGGATCTAGCAGGAAGTGAAAGGGTAGACAAGTCTGAAGTCACTGGAGACAGATTAAAAGAGGCACAACATATCAACAGATCACTTTCGGCCTTGGGAGATGTAATTGCTTCCCTTGCTCAGAAGAACCCACATGTTCCTTACAGAAATAGCAAGCTCACACAATTACTTCAGGACTCACTTGGTAATATTTCATTTGGAGCTTTTGTCTTGGCTTTCCTGATTTAGGCTAAAGCTTACGTTTTGGATGGGGATGGGTGAAAATATTACAGGAGGGCAAGCTAAGACATTGATGTTTGTTCATATCAGCCCCGAGGCAGATGCCCTTGGCGAAACCATAAGCACTCTGAAGTTTGCAGAGCGAGTGGCTACAGTTGAACTTGGTGCCGCTCGAGCGAACAAAGATACTTCAGATGTCAAGGAACTCAAAGAACAGGTTTCCTTTCTTAAACCCGGAAACTCACTTCACCCTTTTTGGTGAATAATGGCGTTGATTCTTCTTGTTTGCTTGATATCCCAATCCTTTTCAGATAGCCAGCCTGAAAGCAGCATTAGCGAGGAAAGAAGCAGAGGCACAACAGAACAAGAACTCCACACCTGGAGGCTCTGAGAGATACAGAGCCAAAGCTGGTGAATTGTCACCCTATATGTCTAACCATCAGATTGGACAAGTGCTGGCCGATCATAAAATTAGCAGGAGTCCAGTCACTGATGTAGTGGTGATTCTTCTCTCTTTTCTCTTTTAGCAAATCATATCTTTCATTGTTTTACGCTCGTTCGAGTTTAAAAAAGCTCAAATATCGAATTTCTTATGTCGGATCTATTGGTTCATCAATGCAGATCCTTAACAATAACATTGCGATGAAGAAGATGCAGAGCTGCGAAATGGAGGAGGTATCGGTAAATTCACCGCCTTGGCCACCTGTGGCAAGTCCAGGCCAAAACTACAGAGAAGACGACCGAGACTTCAGCTCCAGCGAGTGGGTGGACAAAGTCATGGTTAACAACAAGCAAGACGGCCTCTGGGGAACGGATAACGCTAGCCCACGACATGATTTATACCAACAAGAACTTCCTGATGCTTCGAGGATTTTCTCCGAGCATTCTTACAACATCTTCATGGGCAATAGCAAGTTCAACGACGAGACGGACGACATAGACGCTGCAACGAGTGATTCCTCGGAACGAGATCTTATGTGGCAGTTCAACCAGTCCAAGATCACAGCCATGGCGGGATCAAGAAACAAGAAACCGGTCTCGAAACCAACGAAAAGCCCTCAGCTGAGGTAATAATAACGCCAACTTCCACCCAATGAACACGGCTTCTTATATTATACGCATTGGAACACGTTTTTATTTGAGATGTGAAAATGTGAACAGGAACTCAAACACGGTCTCACGGCCGTCGCCTTCGCATAAGCTGCATGGAAATGGCGTCGGCCCTCGAGCCGTGAGAGCAACTGCTGATATGAAACGCAAAGCTAGCAGCAGACACTGAGGAATTGATTACATTACTACTCTCACACGCATATACGTTTCTACACGTTCACTCGGTTTGTTCCTTTGTTTGTTTGTTTGATTGATTATTATTTTCTTTCTTCTGTTTTTTTTGTTTGTTATTTAGAGGGAAGAAACCGAGTTTGTGTATGTATCTGTCTTTATGATTTTGTTTCTTCCCCTTTGTGTTTGGTTGTTTTCTATATATATATATATAAACAGCACAGTTACAAATGCATCATTTGGGTTTCCTTTTCTTTCCCTTTTTCCTTGTGTTCCTCTTTGGCTTCAAAGATTTGTATATTTACCCACAAGAAAACAAAAAGATTGAAGAATGTATGTAAAATTCTCATACACTATAATGATGTTTGTTTGGGTTTTTTTTTTTTTTTTTTTTTTTTTTGTTTTTTTCATTTTTGCAATGTGATCAATAGGAAAAGGGGAAATCTCCACAACGATCCATTAGTCCGTTTTTTTAATTATATCTTAGGTTGCTTTCGGCATCCAGATCCATACACTTAATCTCCACACTTTATCAGTCATCTTTTTTTAAAAAAAAGAGAGGCCACATAAAAAAAACTCAACACAAAGGACGACCACAAATCCGCCCAATGGAAATCCCCAACCTCAAACGAAACCTACAAACATGTGAACTCCAACAAATATCTGTGCGAACCTGGTAGAGGAGAACCCTCTCGAACCTTCCGCCTTCTACCCTTTTTTTTTTTTCATGAACAGCTTGTGCTTCATTCTCAGTTTAAATCACCTATTGACCCTTAACCCTAAAGGCCCAAAGTCCTCACCTTTGTGATGCGATTACGTTAGCAAGTTACTGTGTGAATCGGTTGCATGCGTTTTAATTCTAAATCAGTTTTTTATTCCCAGAATTTTTTTCTTTTAATTTCCCATGAAATCTTAACAACCCCACGTTTCCCCGTCAAGCCCAGCGACCAAGAACTGATTCTTTCTTTTTCCCCTTCTCAGGGTGCGTCTGGATCTGTTGTAAGAATGGCGGATCCCGAGAAATGCTATTACTCTGTTCTCGGTGTCCGTAAGAAGGCTTCTTCTTCCGAGATCCGCGACGCTTATCGTAAGCAAGCTCTGGTCTGTTTCGCCAATATCTTTTTTTTGGGTTTGTAATGTACCATTTTCTGTTTACGGAGAAAAAAAAAAATCATGTGACATTTTTTTATGTTGTTGCAGAAATGGCATCCAGACAGACGGTTGAAGGATCCGACCGAAGCCAAACGAAAGTTTCAACATATTCAAGAGGCTTACTCTGGTTTGCTCTCTCTTGTCTTGTCTCTGTTCTTTTTCTTATTTAAGTCGAAGAATCTTTTTTTGTTTCAAGTAAAAAAATATGGGATGCTTTGCAGTTCTATCAGACAAAGGAAAGAGATCGATTTATGATGCCGGAATGATAAACTTCATCGGAGAAGACGATGATGAAGTGAGTTTTCTCTCAAGCTATACGCATGCATCTTTTATATACACACCACTGAAGATCCATGAAGTAGGCGATTGGTTTGATAATCTCTCTCACGTACGTGCATGGAGCAGGGCTTTCTTGATTTCATGCAAGAGCTGATGGTCATGATGGATTCCACACGACAACAAGTAATTAACTGAACCCTCGGATTGCTTACTAATGAGTTTACGTGGAGATTCTAAATCGCTCTTTTGCTCAATTGTTTTTTTTTTTGTTGGTTTGGTTGGTTCGATGCGGGAAGGCGACAAACAGTGTGGAGGATCTTCAGAGATTGCTGAAGGAGATGATGACTGAAGAAGAGAAGATGGCTTATGGGTTGAGTTCTTCTGATATTTCACCTTCTAATTCCACAAAGAAAACACGTCTTGTCCCATTTTGAAGCCTGTTTTTTTTTTTTTTAATTCGTTCAAGTCTCGAGGTATCCATGGGCTTGAGTTGAGATGATGGTGAAAGTTTCAGCCATTCTCTCCTTTTTTTTTTTTTTTTACATTTTTCAACCTTCGAAAGTAAACATACCACAAAGAAAAGCAAACTTCACCACGATTTCTACATTTATCTTTAGAAAAAATATTTTTAATACATTCAAGCAAAAATTCTGCCACAGAAATGGGAGGAGCAACCTCTTTTGGATTTAAAACAAAATGGTATAATTTTCGAAAATATCCAAGCCCAAATAAAGCCCATAAAGGCCCGAAACGTGGCGTTCAAAAGAAAAGTCCTCAAAGCCCTTAGTCAACATGCCGTTATCCCTATTTAACGGCGTCATAACGCCGTCAGCTATGCGGGGGAAAAAAGCAGCAGCAGCTTTGTTTTTTATTGTGCTCAATTTAAAAAAAAAACTTGTCGAGGGGAAGACGAATATTTTTTTTTTTGGTGTTCGTTTTAATTGCTAATAATCTCTGAAAATCGCGAGGGATTGGATTATTCTTCATTTGCATTTCTTGAAAATTATAACAGACATTTCCACGGGGGCACGGCCCATACTACTGTTCGTTTTCTCTTTTGAGTATTTATTTTAAAATTCATTTGCCCTATTTATCTGCTCCGTTTTATTTCTCTGTATCAGAGCACTCGGTTCTGCAACTTGATCTCCATCTCCGACTATCCCCTTCTTCGTATAAGGTTTCTACATCGTCTTACGTTATACGCATATGTGTGAGCGTATTTGTTCGTTGATGTTTTTGCGCGTGTTTGATCGGTGAAGGATTAGGTAGAACGAACCATGGCGATTTACGTATTGTCTCGGCGGCTCTCCGGTGGATCGACGCCGGCGGCGGCGCTTCGTTACGCCAACGCGCTGAGATCATATTCGACCTCGTTTAGGGAGGAGAGGGACACCTTTGGTCCGATCCAAGTTCCTTCTGATAAGTCCGTGATCTCATCTTCAAACACAAGTTCGATTTGATTTTCTAAGGGACATGACTCCTTAGGACAAGAGTTTCACGATTTTTTCTGTTGATTTTACTGTCAGATTGTGGGGAGCTCAGACACAGAGATCTTTGCAGAACTTCGAAATCGGCGGCGAGCGTGAGCGGATGCCCGAACCTATCGTTCGCGCCTTTGGTGTCCTCAAGAAATGTGCTGCCAAGGTAACAAAACATTTCAGCCTTATGTAATAGAACTTGAGTTTTTGGGTTTGACTTTGCATCTCTGTGATTGGAATTTGGTTCTTTAGATCGCTGCTTACATACCCATGTTGGATTTGTCTTATTGGGATTTTGTGTGATTCTTCCTTCGTGTTTGGCTCATGACGAATTGAATCTACTTCAATACAGGTAAACATGGAATATGGTCTTGACCCAACGATCGGGAAAGCCATTATGCAAGCAGCACAGGAGGTAGCCGAGGGTAAGCTGAATGATCATTTTCCCCTTGTTGTGTGGCAAACCGGCAGTGGCACTCAGAGTAACATGAACGCAAATGAGGTAACACTTGCCGGTTTTTATGGTTTTGGATATCTCTAGATATGAGGCGTGAGAAGAAAAGGTATCGGGTATGAGGTGTCTAATTTTGCTTTTGTCCCCACACAGGTCATTGCTAACAGAGCAGCTGAGATCCTCGGCCGCAAACGTGGCGAAAAATTTGTGCACCCAAATGACCATGTGAACAGATCACAATCTTCTAATGATACTTTTCCAACTGTAAGCTGCGAGCGGTTACATCACCATCTACTTATTCTCTTCTATTATCGATATTATTGAATCATAAGAGCAAACATTTATAGTCTAATAGAAACTAAACCAAATGAAATTGGACTAAACCGGATTTATACTCTAATATGAAGTTCTTGAAGTTGTTTATACTGTTTGTGTGAGAGATTATTTTATCATCTAGCACTGCATAGTACTTATGAGTTATGGTTACATTGTTTCAACCTTGTCTAGGTCATGCACATTGCTGCTGCAACGGAGATTAATTCGAGGCTGATCCCGAGCTTGAAAACCTTGCATAGCACTCTCGATTCTAAGGTTTGACATTTTGCGCTCCTTTTATTAAGCGACCTACTCGATCTTGTAGCTATAATGTATTCTGGTGCTCTTTTTTACTGGTTCTTGTAGCTATAATGCTATGATGTGTACTGCGATTTGGTATGGGAAGGAGTTTTCTTCTGACCTATACACTTCTCTATTATTTCTCTCTTGTGCTAGAACTGTGAAATTCAAGTTGTCTGTGTCACTTAAGCCTCGAGCTTTGGCTTTTTGTCTGCTCTGCTGCCTGAGCTTATTTTTATCTTATTGCATCTTGCTTTCTTTCTGGCAGTCCCTGGAGTTCAAAGATATTGTGAAGATCGGAAGAACTCATACTCAAGATGCGACACCTTTGACTCTCGGACAAGAGTTTGGTGGCTATGCTACTCAAGTAAGCTTTTCATTCTGTGATGATTGTAGCATCATATGACATCCTATGAGTCTTGTCTTCAAGAATGGTGGAAATTGAATACCATCCGGTCATGCTTGCAGGTTAAGTATGGAACCGATAGAGTCGCTTGTACTCTCCCGCGCCTATATCAGGTTGGTAACAATTTCTTTGCTACATGTCACCCTTTCACTTTTCATACCTTCATTGAATAGTCCTAACGGGCCATATATGTTCGAGCAGCTCGCACAAGGTGGAACTGCGGTTGGAACAGGATTAAACACAAAGAAAGGGTATAACTCAAATTTAATCACATTTCCTTTTCAAGTTTCAATCTTTATTATATGTGGTGTTTTGGTAGTGTTTAATGCAATGCTGGTACTTCTGTAATTTGTTTATACAAGAGTCAGTTCTCTTTCCCACGTGAAAAATAGCATTTCAAGACTTTCTTGTTCTGATAGAGTTTTTTTTTAACATATTTGGTCCTTCATCACCGTTAACAGACCCTATGTGCAACCTCTGGTACAGGTTCGATGTCAAGATAGCTGCTGCAGTAGCTGAAGAAACAAACTTGCCATTTATCACCGCGGAGAACAAGTTTGAAGCTCTGGTTAGCCTCTGAACTTCTTCAATGTCACCTCTAACTCCATGTCATTCAAAACCAATTCACATTCCATGCTCTGCTTACCAACACAAAACCGGACAATCCGCTTCAGCAGAAAGTAAATGATAACAGATGCTGAATTAATCTGCTTTTTCTAGGCTGCACATGATGCTTGTGTTGAAACTAGCGGATCCCTTAACACAATTGCTGCATCATTGATGAAGATCGCCAATGACATACGTTTTCTGGGAAGGTCTACTTCTAATATCTTTATGGTGCCCGTTTTCTTTTTTTGTGCACCTCCTCCTATGTTCTTATGGCTTATCATGTCTTTATGCAGCGGTCCACGATGTGGCCTGGGTGAACTCATTCTACCTGAAAATGAGCCAGGAAGCAGTATCATGCCTGTATGGTTACATTTTTTTTCCTTCTTTAATTCTCTTTTTCTTTTTTGCCAATTTGCTTTATCTTTCAAGAATAATACTAATCCGAATGAATTTAATCTCTCAGGGGAAGGTAAACCCTACACAATGTGAGGCCTTGACTATGGTTTGCGCTCAGGTAAAATTTTTTGTCATTAACTTGATCTCACTGACTAAGCTGGAAACTTGTTTTTTATGACCATTCACATGAACTTTTGTTATCTTCTAAGATTGTTGTTCTTAACTACTGATCGGCTTGTCTGTTACGTTTTTGCAGGTCATGGGCAACCATGTCGCTGTCACTGTTGGTGGATCAAACGGCCATTTTGAACTGAATGTTTTCAAGCCAGTGATTGCTAGTGCCCTCTTACATGTATGTTTATTTCTTTTACCAGCAGTTACCTTGTCTAGAATGCATCTATATGAGCAAAAATTACCTCTTCAGCTCTTAACCATTTTTGTTGCTTCTTTGATAGTCCATCAGATTGATAGGAGACGCATCCTCCTCCTTTGAGAAAAACTGCGTGAGAGGAATTCAAGCAAACAGAGAAAGGATTTCAAAGTTGCTGCATGAGGTAGGCCTACTTGTTCTGTACCACCTTACAATTCCCACCGTATGAAAAAGAGCCCTGGAAGTGATTTCTCGTTGTTTGATTTTTCTGCAGTCTCTCATGCTTGTGACATCATTGAACCCGGTAACCTTTTTGAACCGCCTGGTTTTGTTTTCTATATGGGATATGAATCGGATATAACATCTTCTCCTCCTTTCCAGAAAATCGGGTACGACAATGCTGCAGCAGTTGCCAAGAAAGCCCACAAAGAAGGAACAACACTGAAGGTAAATGACTAAGATTTACCTGTCTCGCTTTCACATCTACAACTCAAACTCTGATAGCTTGCTCTAAGATCCTATTCAAAAGCCGTAGGTTGTCTTTGTCACCGAGGTGATTGATATTTAACTGCTGACTTTCGGTATCTCAGGACGCTGCTCTGAATTTGGGAGTTCTTTCGCCGGAAGAGTTTGATAACCTCGTAGTCCCCGAGAAGATGATCGGTCCATCCGATTGAAGACAATTTTATTCAAGTGCACCTTCTTCGAGATTCATCGTGCCCGAGGCTTCTTCATAACCGATAATAAGAGCTGCTCAGACTGGGTGTTGTCGTCGACCTCGGCCTACCATTTTTTCCATCTCTATTACTCGGATAGATTCAATAAAGAACGAACCCTAAAAATTGTTTCATGATCCTGAGGTCTTTTTTTTCCTTTCTTTCTTTGTCTTGTATTCGCCTCCCCCGCCTGAGAAAGATTTAGGCAGCCAAGTGAAAGGTGGAAGCACAATTCATGAGAGCTTTGTTTAGGGAAGATACGTCAAGATGGTCTTCCTCCCCAACGATGTCGTTTTGCATATTTTCTGGTTGTGATCTTTCTACTTGAACCGTCGCGTGTTGGGTCTGGATGGTAAGGGTTGTAATTAGATGTTCAGACTGGGGTCAAGGTTGTCATAACGCATGCAGCCAATCGTTTAAAAACCTAGAGTTTTTTATTTCTTAATAACGGATCCCAAGGATAATATAAATCTGTTAGCAGCCCACATAAAAATGGAATAGTTATGGTCTATCTAACTGGTTTTCTTAAAATTAAATATTTTTTTATAATAAGAATTAAATTCAAACTAAATTAATATAAAAAACAAATAATTATTTTTTTCTGAAATCCAAATTACCGAGAATCCGAAATGGCAACATCCGTAAAAAAAAGCAAACGGACACAAACCGCCATACCGTGAACAAATAGAAGATTCGTGTTTCAGGTTATTTACTATTTTACCCTCACACTTCCTACAGGAATACTAAGAAGCCTAAATCTCGTCTCCACTGTTTGCTTCCTATGGAAATAGGGGAAACCTAAATGTCGTCTCCGTTGCTAATTAGTTATTTCTGCCACCTCTCTCTCTGTCCGACCGTCCCGTCCCGTCTCGTCCCGTCTCTGGGTGATTCTCTCGCTCGCTCGCTCGCTTGTGTTGGTCTTCAGTCTAGGGTTTGTTTGAATCATCTAGGGTTTAGGGCTTTCAGTAACGGACTTCGGTTTCTTAAGAATTTTTGTATCCCCCGCGTTCTCTCTGATCGTTTTCCAATTCCGGTTAGTGTTTGGCTTTGAAACTTTCCGGCGTATTTGAACTTATTTCTTGTCTCGTTCCGTTTCCCTGAGTTCCGATTCTGGGTACTGGATATAGCTTTTCTAAGGCAATGTGTTCTTATTCCCAGATTTTCCAACATTATTCCGCTTTCTGGGCGTTAATTCTTATCCGATTACTTTGGATTTCACAGGCTGTTCCTCCCCGATTCTAGTTGTTCTTATACAGTTATGTCTTTCTAGACCTAAAGAGATACCGGTGCTTGATTCATGCGATGTTTGTTGAAATATATTGCTTTGTTTTTCCTTGGAATATTAATTATTATCGATAGTGTTACCATTACCAACGCCTTCGAATATATGCCTCGCAGGTTTTCGTAGAGTTTTGATTAATTTTACTTAGGGCTAATCTGGGGCAGTTCTTAGACGGATACGAAGTAGTTCATCTTCTCGGTTTTATTGAGATCGAGGTACGGGGAGCTTATTTCTGTTCCTTCTCATCTGTTTGGCTTTCAAGAAAATTTAAGACAGGGAACATTCAACTCTTAAAAATTCGGAATTCAGTTCGAATTAATCAGCCTGTTCTTTGCTTGTGATTTTGGCAGCATGATGGGAACCGATAGCAATTTGGAAATTTTGCCACCAAAGAAAAAGATCAAGAAAAATAAAGGCACGAAACAGGTACTGGAATTCTAGAACATGGCTTGATAATGTTTGCAATTTTTCTCATTTTCTCTGTTGAACGATACTTGACTTTGTTTCCGCTGGACAGGTGCCTGAGAAGCTGGATTCGAAGGAAAATACGAAATTGAGCAAATCCCAGAAACGGAAGCTGAAGAAACTCGAGGTCCACTTACTTGTTTTCGGCTCTTTGTCCCCTTCTCGTATAGTCCGCTTTACTGTTATGTTGTATTTCTGTGTTGAACCTTGTTAGCATTTTTCACAGGAAGAGAAGGAGAAAGAAATCATGTTTGCAAAAAGCGCCGAGTTGTTAGAGTATGTCATAGTGTGCATCATTATCTTTTGTCTCTTTGGGCCAATGTTCTACCTTGCATGTGGTTTTGTTGTATGAAACGGGTGTTACATTTACAGGAAATACAAAATCTCTGAGGATGCATACTCACTTCTGCGATCTTCAAAAGTCATAGGGAGGGTATGTATTGCTCTTTTCTGAAGGGTATGATATCATGTTACATGTTTTTTAAGATAAGGTTTTATGATATTCTGATGTCCGCTTTCCTGTTCTTTTGGGTTTTCTCTTGATATAGGCAGAAACTAAGCTGGAAAAACGTCGGAGAGCAATGCAATTTTCTAAAGTTGGTCTGACTGCTCCACCTGGTGATGAATCTCTTGAGAGAAATGAAGATTGTCACTCTTTCATGACCGAACCAATGACACAAGAACATGCTGAGATGCCAAATACATGCTCAGGTTCTTCGTGTGTAACTGGGGAGTTGGTTCATGCTCCTGAACTTGGTTCAGAAGATGGACATGAAGCGAAGATGTCAATTGAAGAGGTTTGTGAACAGCTTGGCAGCAACCCTACTCAAGAAGAAACTGCTAATGTAATCATGGAGACCTCACCTCGTGGTGGTGATAAAGGCCCAAAAAGAAAGGTTTGTCATAACATCGGGAATTCTATGTTTTTTTTCAGTTTTATTTAAGATCAAGATGAAGCAATCAAGTTCTTCACTTCTGAAATTCAATGCTTTTCAGTTTAAATGGAGTAGATACTGTGGTATTCAGTTTTGCTATGTTGTGCGTATTTTCCCATCTGATGTCTAATAGCTTTGGCATGAAACAGGATGGTTCAGGCCATTATGACGATATAGGTGCTAAAAGAAACAGCCATCCCACGGAGTTCTCTGTACAGAGAACTCATGTTGCCCCATGTGTAGTCCATGTTTCCAGACCAACTGAAGTCGAAGAGAAGAGGAAAGATCTTCCAATAGTGATGATGGAACAAGAGATAATGGAAGCTATTAACTATCATCCGACAGTTATTATTTCAGGAGAAACAGGGTGTGGTAAAACCACTCAAGTTCCTCAGGTTGGTTGCTTGATGCTGCAACTTGTAGGTTCTCTTAGCTATACTTTTCTCAAATAAAAGGTCTTTATCTAATGCAGCTTTGCTTCTTTCCCCTTTCAGTTTCTTTATGAAGCTGGTTTTGGCTCAAAACAGTTCAGTTCTCGGAGTGGGATTATTGGGATTACCCAACCACGTCGTGTGGCTGTGCTTGCGACTGCCAAGCGGGTGGCATTTGAGCTTGGTTTTCGTCTGGGCAAAGAAGTAGGGTTTCAAGTGCGTTATGACAAAAAGATTGGGGACAACTCTTCTATCAAGTTCATGACAGATGGTATTTTACTGCGGGAAATTCAGGTATAGATGATTTTTCCTGTTTTGTTTTAGGTGTTTGGATTTCATTTGATTGACCATCGAATTCCCCTTGATTCTATTCCATTTTCTTCTGGCTGCATATGTATAGGTTGTGTCATTATAATTCTCATCGGTGATTTATTTGATTCTTCTATGCTGCAGAATGATTTCTTACTAAGGCGCTATTCTGTGATAATTCTTGATGAAGCCCACGAAAGAAGCTTAAACACGGATATTCTCATCGGGATGCTGACCCGGGTTATCCGACTCCGACAGGTTATGGGACAAAATACTCATTGGTCTTGGTGTCTATATATAAGATTTTTCTTTCCTACTTTTTGCTGAACCTTATATGTCATGATGGGCATCAGGTTTACTATGAGGAGCAACAGAAGATTCTGCAATCAGGACGCTCTATAAGCCCTGAAAACTCTATCATTCCCCTCAAGCTTATATTGATGAGTGCAACCTTGCGAGTGGAGGACTTCTTGTCTGGAAGAAGATTATTCCCCGATTTACCTCCCGTTATAGAGGTTCCCACTCGGCAATATCCAGTGACTATACATTTTTCAAAGAAGACTGAGATTGTTGATTATATAGGACAAGCTTACAAGAAAGTGATGTCGATTCACAAGAAGTTACCACAAGGAGGAGTGCTTGTTTTTGTTACGGGGCAGAGAGAGGTGGACTATTTATGCCAGAAGTTACGTAAGGCTTCAAATGAATTGGTTGCTCGAGGAGCTAAAAGGGGCACTTCCACCAGTGTTGATGATTCTCCTCAGATGAGCTCAGTTGATGGTGTTGATATGAAGGAGATCTCTGAAGCATTTGGGGATGGTTCCCATCATCAAAATAACAGGTTTAATTCTTCTGAGGAAGATCTTTCCGAAATGGCCGATAGCTTTGACAAGTCTGATGATGTGTACGAGTCAGATGAAGAAAGTGATTGGGAAACCCTTGACGACAACCAAGGAGACAACTTTATAGGTTCATTTGGAGAGGAGGGGAATCTGGATTCACTGAAGGCGGCTTTTGATGTTTTAGCAGGGAAATGCCAATCGAATTCTACCAAACAGGGCAGTCCTGTGGTAGTTGAAGAATATACAGGGCAACCCATTTCCAGTACAAAAGAGGTGGAAGAGGGAAAAGATACAACTTCATGTGGATTGCGTGTTCTCCCACTTTACGCGATGCTTCCTCCAGCGGCGCAACTTCGTGTATTTGAGGAAATCAAAGAGGGAGAGCGGCTTGTGGTTGTGGCAACTAATGTAGCCGAAACTTCACTGACTATTCCTGGTATAAAGTACGTGGTCGACACTGGTCGGGTCAAGGTTAAGTCTTACAATCCTTCCACTGGTATAGAATCTTATGAGGTGCAATGGATTAGTAAAGCATCAGCGAGTCAGCGTGCTGGGAGAGCTGGAAGAACCGGTCCTGGTCACTGTTATCGCCTCTATTCGTCTGCAGTGTTCAATAATATATTTCAGGATTTTTCCCCTCCCGAAATTACCAAAGTTCCAGTCGATGGGGTTGTTCTCTTGATGAAATCCATGAACATCGATAAGGTAAATCTTTTTTGGCAATATCCTTGAATTCCTGCTTTTATGTTACTTGAATTTTTATGTTATCTTTATGCTGCAGGTTGAGAATTTTCCATTTCCAACTCCACCAGAGTCGTCAGCAATTAAAGAAGCAGAACGGTGTTTGAAAGCCATAGAAGCTCTCGACAGCAATGGAAGCTTAACCCGGTTGGGAAAAGCTATGGCCCACTATCCGATGAGTCCTCGCCACTCAAGAATGCTTCTCACTGTTATTCAGATGATGGGAGATGTCAAAAGCTACTCACGGGCCAATCTCATTCTCGGATACGCAGTTACTGCGGTGGCTGCCTTAACACTGCCAAACCCCTTCATCATGCAGTTTGAAGGAGACAAGAGTGAGAAAAACGAGTCAGACAAAGACGAATCCCTGAAACATCGGAGAAAGGAGACAAGAGAGAAGATAAAGGCAGCCCGTGAAAGATTTTCCAACCCTAGCAGTGACGCTCTCACATTAGCCTATGCATTGCAGTGCTTTGAGCTCTCAGAAAACCACACTTACTTCTGCGAGGCAAATGGGTTGCACCTGAAAACCATGGAGGAAACGTCTAAGCTCAGACAACAGCTTCTGCAAATAGTTTTCAACCAAAACCGGAATTCTGGTGTCGAGGAGGAATTCTCATGGAGTCACGGCAACATAATAGACGTAGAGAATGCATGGCGGCAGACCACCGCTCCTGCCAAATACCCGCTTCTTCAGCATGAGGAAGAGCTAATAGGACATGCGATATGTGCCGGCTGGGCAGATCGTGTGGCCAGAAAGACCCGAGCCGCCGAATACAAAGCCTGTGCGGTTCAAGAACCAGTGTTCATACACAGGTGGTCATCCATTGCAAATGCAGCGCCAGAGTTCTTGGTGTACAGCGAGCTACTACGGACCAAGAGAATCTACATGCATGGAGCCACGAGGGTCAGGCCAGAATGGCTGGTCAGACACGCAAGATCTCTCTGCACGTTCTCTGCACCGCTCAAGGAACCGAGACCGTATTACTCAGTGAAGGAGGACAAAGTTTTCTACTGGGTGGTTCCGAGCTTCGGCCCTCATCTGTGGGAGCTTCCTCCTCACAACACGCCAGTGACCGATGAATTGGACAGTGCGGCCGTTTTCGGGTGTGCCCTTCTTCAAGGAGAGGTGCTGCCATGTCTGAAGGAGGCGAGGCAGTTAATGGCGGCTAAACCAGAGGCGATGATGGAAAGGGAGGCGTGGGGTCAGGAACGGATAGGGGGACTGGTGAGAGAGCTGAAGGAGAGGAGGATACATAGCTGGGAGAAGCTCAGAGAGACTTGGGATACGAATCCAAAGGCTTTGTATCGGGAGATTGAAGAATGGTTTCAGAAGAAGTTCCGTCAGAGGTTTGCAGGTTTCTGGGTGAGGATGCTACGTGAAGCTCAGGCCGAGCCTCGTCAACGGTTTGGGAAGAAGAAGATGAAGATAGCGTCTTAAATTTTCTGGCAAATTTTGATGGTTACTGCTGTGATTGCGTGTATTATTATCCAATTCAAAGGGGGCTGGTTTTTTGGTTCACTGAATGGAGAGTAAAAAGAAATATAGTTCATGAGAGGACGACCTACTACGGGGTCGTTATTATTGGTCAACTGAAATAAAGCGGATCCAATCCAATTATTTTTAAAAAAATTTATAATTATTTGATTTTTTTTATATTGAATTTGAATTGATTCAAATTGGTTTTATTTGGATTCAATTTTTAATAATAAAAAATATTATTTTAAATTTACAATTATTTCCCGTGTTAGAATTAGTTATTTTCCTCCAAAAATTATTATCATATTTTCTATTATAATTATTTCCTTTTTGTTGACAGTTGAAATTTGTAATGTTCATTATAGATGCATACAGTTGGATAAATCTGAACATACAATTGTGATTCAATAAAAAAAATCTATCCTTTAAATCTCGTTTTTCTCTATAGAAAATTAAATTATAAAAAAAGTATCCTTACTCTTATGGCTTATTTTTTTATTGTAAAAATGATAAAGAAATATTAATAACGAAAGTAGAATAAAATAATTTAACGAGCCATTAGCCATTACCCATTAGGGACGGGCCTATTGAAAATAGATTCATTTCGATACATCGTTTTGCCCCATGTAATATCCAATAGATGATAGCCACGTAAATTGATTCCACACGTGTGACGGACTTTTGAATGCCGGTAGTACACGTCAGCCTTCCGCACGTGCCACGGCTTCTCCTCCGTGACACTATATATATTTTTCTCCCTCGCTTCGCTTCTCTCTAACTCCCTCAAATTTCACCGTCTTCTTCTTCTTTTCATGAAACTCAGCAAAAAATCTCCCTGAAAGAGCTTCTGCTGCAGAAAACGAGGTATTTCACTCTCAGGCCACCGAGGTTCGTGTTGTCTTCTTCTTTGCTTTGTCTTATCGATTTGATCCGCTTCCGCTTTGCGGTCGAACCTGCGGAAGTTTGGGAGATTTAGATTTTATTTTGTGGCACTGCAGATTCTTTTATGACTCAGTATCATTTGCGATTCTTTTGAAATGAGCTGGAGACTTGTTCTTCGTGCTTCGGCGTTTTGTTTGATCTATTTGGTTTGGTGATGCCAGATCAGCGTCGATTTTTGTAGGCATCGTTTAAGGTGGAAGAAATGTAGATGACTTGTTTCGATGTGGATGCTTCGCGTAGTTGGATTGGCTTTTCCTGTCCCTTTTCTTTCTTTTTTATGCATCTGAACGCTTATTGGCAGATTTGTAGAAGTTTAGCAGATTCCGTCTGGTAGATCAATTTATACCATTAGATTTAGGGAAGAATCATTGACACGGTGAAGTTTTTATCTATTTGTTACTGTTTAAGTCTTGAAGTCTGCCTTCTCTCGAGTTCGAAAAATACTCCCAGATGATCGAAAAATGATACGAGTGTGAACAGATATGGGTTTGTGTAATTTTTCCGGTTGTTTTCTGCTGCACACAGCTTTGTTGAACATGCTGTATGGGTGTTTATCTTTTCACTTTCATAGCGATTTCTCAAGATCTACATCGAGTGACGCTTCTTGGCTATTTTACCAGGAAAAAGAAGGCGGTTCTCTGCCAATGGAATCGTGTGATTGTTATGACACGCAAGGGCACCAGGATGAACTCTTAGTGAGATATCAGTACATCTCAGATGTGCTGATTGCTGTTGCGTACTTCTCCATTCCTCTGGAGTTGATATATTTTGTGCAGAAATCCGCTTTTTTCCCTTACAGGTGGGTGCTCATGCAGTTTGGCGCTTTCATTATTCTCTGTGGCGCAACCCACTTCATAAATTTATGGATGTTTTTCTTGCACTCCAAAGCTGTTGCAGTGGTGATGACTATCGCAAAAGTTTCATGTGCAATTGTGTCATGCGCTACAGCATTGATGCTTGTTCACATAATTCCAGATCTTTTGAGTGTCAAAACACGGGAATTGTTTCTGAAAAGAAAAGCCGACGAGCTTGACAGAGAAATGGGCCTTATTCTAACTCAAGAGGAGACCGGAAGGCATGTAAGGATGTTGACTCATGAGATCAGAAGCACGCTTGACAGGCACACTATTCTGAGAACCACTCTTGTCGAGCTTGGTAGAACTCTTGACCTGGAGGGGTGTGCGTTATGGATGCCATCTAAAAGTGGTCTGAATCTGCAGCTTTCCCATACGTTGAACTACAAAATACAAGTAGGAACCAGTGTGCCAATAAGTCTTCCGACAGTCAACGAACTTTTCAACAGCGCTCATGTAATGCGTATATACCTCATACATGCCCTTTGGCGAAAATTGGACCTCTTGTTGGGAGATACACACCGCCCAAGTCAGTGACTGGTCTGATCTCTCGGGCAAAGGTTATGCAGTCATGGTCCTTATTCTCCCCGCAGATGGTGCCAGAAAATGGCGAGATCATGAATTGGAGCTCGTCGAAGTCGTAGCAGATCAGGTCCCATCCTTTCCAGGCTCCTTTGTTAGCACCAAGTTGCATTTTACGTGACATATCTCTATGAATGACTGTGCATATATATTTGTTAAAATCGTCTCTCTAAAACATACTCTAATTCTTAATCTTCTCTAAAACAGGTGGCTGTTGCACTCTCACATGCTGCAATTCTGGAGGAATCCATGCACGCTAGGGACCAGCTAATGGAGCAGAATTTTGCATTAGATAAGGCTCGACAAGAGGCAGAGATGGCCGTACACGCTCGAAACGATTTCCTAGCAGTCATGAATCACGAGATGAGGACTCCAATGCACGCAATCATCTCGCTGTCTTCACTCCTACTGGAGACCGAGCTGTCTCCAGAGCAAAGAGTTATGATCGAGACAATTCTGAAAAGTAGTAACCTTGTAGCTACACTCATCAGCGACGTCCTTGATCTTTCCAGGCTCGAAGACGGTAGCTTGGTGTTGGAAAATGAACCATTCGATCTCCAGGGCGTCTTTGAAGAGGTAACCTGATCAACCTTTTTCTTATGATTATTAATCTTAATCTGCATATTTCTTATAAGTCATATATATATATATATGAATAACCAAGATGGTTTGTTGTAATTTCAGGTGATAACTCTGATAAAGCCCATCGCGTCTGTGAAGAAGCTGTCGACGAATTTGATTCTGTCAGCGGACTTACCAGCATATGCAGTGGGTGATGAGAAACGCCTAATGCAGACGATCCTGAATATAGTGGGAAACGCTGTGAAATTCACAAGGGAAGGGTACATCTCAATTCTAGCCTCTATACTGAAACCAGAGACGTTGAGAGAGTGGCAGACTCCAGAATTCTATCCGGTCCCAAGTGACAGCCACTTCTATTTGTGCGTACAGGTAGTAATAAATCAATGAATCAATCACATAATGTACGCATGCATCATCATGATAATGATAATACAAAGTGGTGTAATGGTTTGGGGTTGATGACAGGTGAAGGACACAGGATGTGGTATCCACCCACAAGACATCACTTATCTCTTTACCAAGTTTGTGCAGCCACGTAGGGGTTCACACAGAAACCAAGCTGGTGCTGGCCTGGGACTGGCCCTATGCAAGCGGTGAGACACTCCTCCTCCTCCTCCCAAGGCATTACAACGCCTGATAGTAATAGTCGTCATATTAATAATAATTTAATTGATTAATTAATAATATAGCTAAGAGGAAGGGTTCGTTTTTGTGTGTTGATGATTGCAAAGATTCGCGGGGCAAATGGGAGGGCACACATGGATAGAGAGCGAGGGAGTGGAGAAAGGCTGCACCGCTTCCTTCATTGTCAGGCTTGGTGTCTGCAATGCCCCCACCCATTCAATTGCTGACAAATCTAAAAGCAGCCAAGGGATCTAGTGGTGATGATATGAATCTCTCTATTCTTGAATCTTGATCGCAATAAGCGTCAACGGCGATAGCCGAGGCCCATATAAAAACCATTGCTCTTGCTTGTTGTAAATAACTAACTAATAAACTTTTTTCACGTCTTCAAACGACAACTGCTACGAGGACGAGCTACCGCTTCTTCTTTTAAAACATTTCTCGCATCTTTGGGAATCATCCAAAGGTTTTCCATTGTGGCGCCTTTATAGCTTTAACATTACTTTACTTGCAATGAACGCGGCCCAAATGAAATACAAAAGGCACAACGGGGGACGTTGTTATCAGGAAATTGGAACACTTTTCACGTTAGAAGTGTTTTGTAAAAAAAAAACTAAAGTTTCACGGGACACATTGATGCAAAACTAATTTTACATTAGTAAAACCACAAATAGGGGAATCTAGTACATGAGACATACTCTTCACTTCTTGGACTTCTTTGAAGGCCTGCAAAAATAAATACCCCCAGAAGCAAAACAAAGGTGTTACATAACACATCGAAAGCCAACCAATCATATTCCAATTCAAACAAAAATGTATGCACTCACTCTGTTGTTTGGGCTGGAGGTGCAGTTGCTGCCTTGTCTCCTCCTGGACCCTATAGAAGACAAAAGCAAATCAATTTCAGAAGGATCAAAGATGAAAGGATTGAAGTAGTGTAAGTATACAGGCAACACTTAAGAAATGGTTTGGTCGGAGAAGGATTGCTCCTAATACCTGAGCAAGGCGTTCCTCCCGCCTGGCCATCTTCCTCTCTCTGCTGGCCTTGTTCTTTGCCCTCTTGGCCTCAAACTGGTCGGATAGGGTCTTCTCTCTGGCCTTCTCCGCCTTGGATTTGTGGATACTCTCCATCAGAACACGCTTGTTCTTGAACACATTACCCTTCACTTTCATGTACATGTCATGATACATGTGCTTGTCAATCTTCTTTGCCTCTCTGTACTTTCTGAGCAATCGTCTGAGAACACGCATCCTTCTCATCCACAGAATCTTGGTAGGGAGCCTAGCTTCCCTTGTACCTTTTCTTTTACCTAAATCACAGATATACAATTCGATTCAGCATAAAGAAAGTATTGCATCAAAACAGATTCGGAATGCGCTTACCATATCCTGAGTGACGCCCCTTTCTTTTGGCCTCCTTCATGCGACGTGCCCGAGAGCGAGAGTGGATCTTTGTCGGCTTCCTGATGATGAAACCATCCTTGACAAGTTTCCTGATGTTCTGGCCTGCAAAACGAAGGCAATAAGAAATCAAAAACTAGCATGATTCCATCCGACAGCACAAGATGCAATACACAATGACTAGTAGATAGGATACTGGTCGTACAGGTAGGGAACATTCGCTTTAGATGGCATGGCCTTCAAAAAGGAACAATATCTACATACAATGTATCTTCAAAAAACAAATAAACTCCTCTAGTACAAATCCAGATCTGTAATTGAAGTAGACCAAGACATGATACGGCATTAAATTCTACGTGGACGACCCTAACTCGAACAAAACCGATAAGCCTACAGCCAAACAGACCAACGCATAAACCAACAGCACAAACCACTCGTCATGAGCTCAAGATCGAGTCTAAGATGGAGAAAGAGTATCACGACAAACTCGAATGTGTTTGACAACGATAGCAACGCAAAGAAGATTCCTACCGCAAGCCAGGCTCATCGAACAATCGAATAAAAAAATACGATAGTTATCCGGAAGAAGAAAGAAGATCAAAATCTCGGGAAAACCCAACGGAACGCAGAAGAACAACATATGGAGAAGAACGTACGGGAATTCGCCATGGAGATTTCACTGACTTCATTAGGATCGAGCCAAACTTTCCCCTTCCCGCACTTGAGCACGCTTGCAGCTAGACGTTTCTGGAGCTTTAGCGACACCATTTTCGCTCCTTCCTTCAACCAGTGAGCAGCCGCTAAGGCAAAAGGAGAGCAGAAGAGGCTACAGATTAAATATATATATATATATGCCCGGGCAACATTTTACCTCTAGGGTTTCTGATTCCTGAGGTGACCTTATTGGGCTTTATTTGGGCTATTAATAGCTGCATAATTGGGCTGATATTTATTTTGTAAGCCTTTTACATTGTGTATCCATGTCTACTACTCATCAATCATCAAGCCCATTACATAGATGCCAATAACTTTTATTGTTATTAAAACTTGTATTAAAAAAAATGTTGTATATTAATTTTAAAAAAAAAAAGAGATGTATGTGTAATATTTTTGCAGACAATAAAATTGGGAATATACGTAGAATAAAAACTCCGAGTAAGGTAATGTTTGGGATTTTATAACAATATATTTCCTCACCACACTCTTCGTAAAGAGTTGGCACTGAGCAACATTCCAAAACGTTTTTTTAATAAAAGCAAAAAAACATATTCGGATTATAGTGTAGGATGGAATAAAGTAATTAAATAATTCAAAGTGACGTTTAACGGTGCATTGCATGAGGGGATGACGTGTCACGTTACTTGGCGTACAAACAAAGAAGAGTGTAAAATCGTACAAGTAAATCCTCCAACAACACTGTGAACGCCCACAGATACCGCCGCCGCCGCAGTTTCTCCCAAACGCCGCATCAGGTTTCCCCAATTTATTACTGTATGTGTGCATGTATACACTACGCGAAAATGGAAGTAATTTGATAACGAATTTATTGTGCGATGAAATTTAATATAATCTGTACTGTTAACAAAGTAATTTTATATCATGTAAAGCCGATTCAAATATTAAGAGATCTAATCATTTTAGAATGCTATATAGATTGGAATAAAAACACGAAAAATACAGATTACCATTATCAAAAAAAAGGAAATTACAATCGATAATCATAAGTTTAACAAAACATGAAATCGGGAGTTTATGACAAGAATAACATGACCGATCGACAAAATTCAAACAAGGCTCAAATTGTTGCTGGGAAATGAAACCGTTAAGCGATGGGGGACGCGGCCACGGCGTCCTCAAAGTTCCAGAGATTTCCGACGACGCTTACTTGTGCGCCGGCGTCGATCGCCGTCGAGGACTGGCCGTCGAGATACGGAATCTGATAGAATCTCATGTAATCCTCGTACGCCATTAGCTCCTCCGACAACCTCAGCACCTCGTTTTCCTCATCCTCCCCTTCTTTCGCTTCCGTCACGCAGCCATTGACCGCCGGCGGAGAATACGAAGCTGAATTCGCCTCGGAGTTCTCCTCCACTACAGAATCAGAGTGCATGGCGCTATGATCCTGATTCGTGTTGCAGCCGTCGGGGATCGGATTGAGACCGTCACCGAACCCGAAACTGGTGCTACTTGAATCGGCGACCGGAGAATTGAGGTAGCTGAGGTGAGAAATCGTGTCATTTCGGAGGTGGTTGACGGTGGGGGCGGACAAATGGGTGTCTTCGTTGGGGAAATTGACTTTGGCTTTCTTGCCGCGAATTTTGATGGCTTCACGGTCGTAGGCTCGAGCAGCTTCTTCGGCGGTGTTAAAGGTGCCGAGCCACACCCGTACACCTTTTCTCGGATCTCGGATCTCGGCAGCCCATTTGCCCCACGGCCTCTGCCTTATTCCTCTGTACAGATTCTTCCTCTGCCTCTTCGGTTTCTTCACCGCCTCTTCAACTTCGCCTGCTCCAAGAAATTCCCCAAAATCAGAGGAAGGCGGAGAAAGAAATAAGCTGCAAACGACGAAACGTAGGAATACCTGAGACGGGTTGATTCCTCTTGATGGAGACAGAGCCACCGCGTCCGAGTCGACTCAGATCGGACTCGAACTCGCCGACAATCTTAGAGAATGAGGAGTGCGGCCAGAGGTCGGCGGCGGACACACTTCGGCCGCGGTTCCGGATGATGAAATCTGAGATGATGGCACCTCCACACATTTCCTTGTTTCCCGTTGAAGCAGAAATCCGAAATGGGCGATGCACCTAAGCAATGGTTTGAGGTTTTGTTTGAGTAAGCAAAAGGGTTTAAGGGTTTAGGTGAAAAGGATGAAGTTTAGGAACGAAGAAGACAACTGACGCTTGTGTTGGGAGGGGAAGGGCCCTTTATATAAAGCTTTTGTAGTGTGTGACAGTCAGAAATTTGGCGGCGGCATCGAACTTTCCTCATCTCTGTCTTACATCAAATTTTTTTCCCAATTAAAAAGTATAATTATTCTCTTTTTTTCCACGTCTGTGATTTTAGAGGTAGGAAACGAAATTGATTATACAATAAAAAAGTGAATTTTATATTAAATAATAATGGTTAATTAGAACGCACTTTCATTTTCATCTATTAAAAACCAAAGAGCAACAGAGGACACGACCAAGACAACTTGTGTTAATCTAACACCGTTGCTCTTCTAGAACTCGACCCACTTGGATCTTGAACAATACTCGTCCGACATCCCCCCAACTTTTAATTTATTTTAAAAAAATATTTCCCCGACGTTAAACAAACTTTCTTCTGAAATGCATGCGTGACATAAGCGCATACGTGTTGAAATTTTCGTGATCAAGCATCAGTGACTCGTACACACATCGAACGTACGCAAGTACCAAATGTACGCTCTTTTAATGGCCGCGTATATACTTAATTATTTGTGTATATATACATACATATTAAGGATTTTAAACCATAAAGCACGTTTGAATAACATAGTAGGAACAATAGTCAAAGATTCCTACGTGTTTAATAGTTTATTATATTGTATAATTGTCAATATGATAAACTTCTGTATGTAATGGTTATGAATTATGTGAAATTTAAATGGATATAGTTGCATGCCGAGGAGATTTACGCCCACTTGCCAAATAAAAAGAGGATCGCACATCGAATGTAGCAACTCATGGGCGAACAAAATCATCGCTTTATAGCTTTTCTTATCTGCCAATTTTGACAGAGCGTACTCTCGGTAACGTTTTGTAATAATTTATTTAGAAATATATTATATATATGCAGAAAAATTAATTAAAATTTCATAAAAACATACATACCCATGCAACATAGATGTGTACATATGAACATGAGAAACGCGCCACATATCATGTTTTCATTATTGGCTATATTCCACACGCACGTATGTTTATGTTCATGACATGAACATCTATTCTTTTTTTAATCACGCTAGCAAATGCATAGGATTTCGTAGAAGCCCAAAATGCTCGGTGTTGGTTTCGTATGACATGTTAGACCCAGGCCCATGTTATATTATTTTCTGGGCCATTTACGATCCATGAGCCCAATTGAAATTGGCAATAAATATATAATATATAGATGCATGTATACATCCAAACCAAAAGTTGGTAGAAGAAAACATAAAACCCTTAGTGGGAAACATGTTTTATAGATCGTGCAGTTTAGTCTCCATGAATTCGTCATGCACAAGTCGGTGTTCGCTGTTATTTTTGGCACGGACGAATAAACAAAAAGATGATATTTCCAATTTTAAATTCCCAAAGTTTCCTTATAAATCCCAAATTTCAGAAAACGATTCGTCACTCATTCCAATAGAAGAGAGACAAAAGCAATGGCAGTCACACGCGCCTCCTTCGCCATCTTCCTCCACTTCTGTTTGGCTGCCATTGCCGCCGCCGGCTACTACAACCCCGCCACTACTCCCTCTCATCCGGTTTACACTCCGGTTCACAAGCCTACTCTCCCACCGGTTTACACACCACCGGTTAAGAAGCCGACCCTCCCACCTCCGGTCTACACGCCCCCGGTTTACACATACACACCACCGGTTAAGAAGCCGTCAGAGGATGCTCCAAAACCCCACATATACTCTCCCCCCGTGAAGCCATACGTGCCCGTCGCCATTGACGGCGTTATCTTGTGCAAACACGGCTACAACACCTACCCAATCAAAGGTGATCATGCGTCTAATATATTTACGAAGAACTGATCGTGTCTGCATGCACGTAAACTACAGAGCCACTTGCCATACTTTTCAACCTTTTTTTTTTTTTGTTAAACTACTTTTCAACTTTTGCATATAGTTTCTTCAATTACAACTTTTTCGGGTGACTCACAATTCATATAATACACGCGGTTTCAACTCCCGTTTTATTCGCTTTGTAACTAACTATAGTCGAGTATCATCGGGAGACGATCCACACCATCTATCACCTCCGACACAAGACAGGTCAATGAGAAGTATCTTATACTCACTGCAGAGTCCGACGAATACAATCATGAATGAATATCTCCAACATTGGTATCGTTTAAATTAGGTCACTGGTTCTACTTTTGCCCGCTTTGCGCATGGGAATCCCTTTTTGTATAGTTTAGTTTTTGTAAAACTCTAATTGATCGGAAAGTAATACAAGCATATCTTATAAAAAAAAAACTATAGTCGAGTATATATATGCATATTGACCGGAATGTGTGTGTGTATATAATGAACAGGAGCAAAGGCAAAGTTGGTGTGCTCGGAGGTGGATTCGTACGGAAAAAACAAGGAGGAGGTGGTGTTGTACAGCAAGCAGACGGACGGGAAAGGGTACTTCGAGTTGACGGTGACGGAAGTGGTGAAGGACATTGCCCTGTGCAGAGTGAAGCTCCATAGCTCTCCCATGGCCACTTGCAAGAACCCTACAAATGTCAACAAGGGCCTCACCGGAGCTCCTCTCTCTCTCTACAATTACCGTACTTTCCCCGACAGGAACTTGAAAATGTACAGTGTCGGACCTTTCTACTTCACCGGTTCTGAGCATGCTCCGCCTCACCCCAATTACTAGCTTTCACCTCTCTCTCTCTGTTTCAATATATATATATATATATGTGCCGTCCAATAAGGCAATAACGCTTTCGTATGATCTTGTTTTGTTTTTAACTGTTGTTTGTATTTTTACACTGAGTTGTGGGGTATTCTTTTTATATGGTTTTGAGGTGCTGTTGGTCTGAATCGGGCTGTGCAGTGCATTCCAACAAAAAGGCGCTTTACCTATTTTGTTCATTTAAAGAGAATATTAATATTTGTTTGAAACAATTCTTTTTGTTCATTTACAAGTTATATCGTAAATATACACGTGTGTAAGCACTAAGCATATATATATATATATATATATATCCATTATTGACTATGGGCCTTGAAAAATACTAAAATAGTCATTGCCCATGTTCGATTGATGATGATGATACACAACTATAAAAACTTTATAAAGTAAATATTCCCCGTAATATTTTAAGGGACCAAAACACACCCCACTTTACAACTCAGGCTAAAAAGACACCCTTATGGTATGGAGTCCATTTATTTTTTATTACAACAAATTAGGAAGAATGATCGTTTTCAAATTTCTCGGCCGGTTAACAAATAGAAATCAGCGAGACTAAGAGACTTGATCAAATTTTCTGCATTCAACCGTTCGTTTGCTTCTCAGTTATTTGGTTACAATCTCTTTTTTCACAAAGCCCAAACAATTTCGTGGGGAAGTAAACAAGAAACCAACCCAAACTCCAAAGAGACCACAAAAATAACAAACAAACGAACGAGCCAACAGGCGCTTAAACGACACCGTTTCATATATACAAACAACTACTCCAGTTCCGTCCGAATCCAAACGCCGTATGAAATTTAGACGAATATCCGAAGTCCGGGACTGACGGCCACGTCGGCCAGTCAAAATTGCCACGTGTCGTCATCACTATCCGGTTTTAGAAAAACACAAACCCCTTGTTTCCTTGCCCGCTTCCGGATTCCTCGGTATCCGATTCTCGGATTTTTATTCTCTTAGAAGCAAGAAAAAAAATTATCAAATGCTCCATAGCCTTTTCAAGGATAGAACCCGATTACCCGGAAACTTGGACCCATTTTCACCGGGTAAACTGGTACTGGGAGCGTCAATTTCCCTGGGCACCTCCACAATTATACCAACCAGCTCGACCGGTTGCCTAGGGCACCTCTCCGGCGGAAAGATTACCGGCGAAGAAGGCGTCGGCGATGAAGATGACGAGGAGGAGGAGGAGGAGGAATCGTCTGATGAAGATGAACTACCGGTTTCGGTATCCACACCCGGTTTAACCGATGAACAAACAGGAACGGCCGGTTCGGTAGTCTCGGAAATGGGCTGCTCGGGTAGGATTGCTGGGTTATCGGCTTGAACCGGGGCTCTGCAGAGCGGACAACTTGACCGCGAACGAAACCACGTGTCGATGCAGTCCACGTGGAAGGCGTGGCCACATTTGGGCAGGACTCGCCCCTCGTCATCCTCCTCGAACTCCGACAAGCAGACGGCGCACTCCATCGGGGGCGCGTCGAGGGTCTTGGGAGGCGCGTAGACGAAGACTGGGATGTTGTCGAGCACGGCCGGGTCGAGCGGGGCGAGGGAGGAGGCGAGAGCAGGGTCGCGTGCGGCGGAGAGGGAGCGGAGGTGGGCCCTGATGCGGCGGCGAATGCGGCGGTTCTGTCTCCGGAAAAGCCATCTGGCGTAGCTGTGGAAGCAGAGGATGAGAATGACGGCGACGAAGAGGACGATTACAGAGGAAAGCATGATCTTGCCGTTGAGGGCGTAGCTCGACGGCCCATGGTTCACGCTCCCCCAAAGGGTCTTGCTGTTTTGGTCGCTCGTGGCCATTATCAGTTCTAGAGAGAGAGAGAGAGAGAGGATTCTGAAATAGTTTGGACGAAGAAGACGAAGGGATGGGTTTAAGAGAGTGGGAAGGTTACAATGTGCTCCTGTCTGTGGGTTTATTAATACTCCTTATTTATAGACAAAAAGATGCACATGTTGCGCATCTGTTCCACGAACTTTTTAATTTTTTAACTGTAATCTATTTGGTAATTATATAACACAATTACGATTTACACGTCACTTTTGTTATCCGACTCAGGCTAACGTGGCAGAGAATGTGCAGATTTGATTATTGTTATTTTAAGGGGTGATCATAAACGGAAACATAGATATGCTGCTGTTAGGGAATACCGACAAATCATTCTTTCTTCCTTTTCCCTCCTTTTTTTTTTTTACCCCCCAAAAGTTATTTTATAGCGAGAGTTTGCATCTGTCTAATTAAAAGAGGTAAATACACATGAAAGTATTTAATCTTAATAACTTGGTGTGAAAATGGTAATTAGGGTTAGGAAATCTTTGGACTTTGCTTAGATGCTAAGAGAAAGAGACTGTCCCATCTAAAAGAGGGGGCTCCTCTTCCTTTTGCTTTGATGATGGAGTTTGGCACTTGTTTTTTCCTGTAAAATGGACGACGAAATTTTGCCCAAAAATAAAAAAAATAAAAAAATAAAAAACTTTAAGTCTCAATCAAATATGTCTTTACGACCATTTTTACACATCAGGACCTAATAAAATTTTTGTCGTGGAGAGGTGGTTAATGGGCCTCCTTGGAATTTTCTAGTTGTTTTTGACCAATCCACGACCACCTTTGTTGCTCCCCCTTTCTTTGCTTCTTGTTTATGCTTTAAAAAACATTGGTCTTCTCACTCTCTCTCTTTCTACTTTTCTATTTTTCATTCAAATTTATATATTATTATTATTATTATTATTAAATGATTGATGCAATCTCTCGTACGTCTACTAGTTTGATGATTCGTTCAATTATACGTATGCATACATACATGTGATTTGATGAAGCAGGGACAGGAATATGCTGCTCATGTGACCAAGATCAATTATCCGCTTCACTTTTTTCAAAACATGCGCTTCACTAAACATGCAATTATTATCCACATTAATATTCTTGTTCCATCGTATGTTCATGTGACCAGATCTCAGTCGTCCACTTCACTGCCATCGCTAATTATAATTAATGTATGCCCATCAATCGGTTTAATTAATTTCAGTTTTAAATTACGAGCAGTACTTTGCTGTGCACTTTCTCATGCATTATATAACATTCAAATCATACATGTAAAAAAGGTTATTTAGTGTTTGCATTGAGTTAAATCACCATTTGTGATGGAACAATGGATAACTGAACTGATAAAATATGAAACAAAACTTTTTTCCAATCCATATTCGAATCTTCGTGTGGAGCGCGGTGTATTTCTCCAATGCTCTACATTTTTGTAGTTGGATCGAATTTATATTAAACTTTGAAATTATATAATAAAAAATTACCATTTGTGTATTCAATATATCCGAATCAATTACGACTCGTGTTCTTCAAATAAATCCAAACACGAGCGTGTGCTTTTTTCTTTCTGGTTTGGTTCCTCGTATACATGGGAGCCGCAGCAATCGGAGACAAAACTAGAGGAGGGGTCTCCGGTTTCCAACTTGACTTAAAGCTGTTGGGATATTGGTATTTTTTGTCTTCTTGATTTAAGGCAAATGGGATACATATACATGTGTGTATAGATGAATAGGATAAGGTTGGACCATTGGTCAAAACGTTCGCCATCTTGGTGGAAAAACCCCTCCATGTGCCGTCCGCAGAATCTAAGAATATCATACTTTTTACACAAGTTGACAACTGCAATTCATACTTTTTCACACACACAGTCTTTCTTCCTTGCAAGCGCACGAACGAGCCATCTATATATACATTTCTAATATTGTGTGACATATTTGTATACATATATAATAATCTCATAGAGACCCCAACCATCTTTTAGGATTACAGTTGCAAACTGCTATATTCTTAAAAACGTCGGCAAGGATTCAACCGCCAATGTACCGATCGGATACCTCTTTATTTTTCATCCTTTGACGAATTTATTCATCCATTAAGTTAATAAAAGCGACGGGTTACAGAGAAGAAAAAGGGCGAGGGAGAAAACATTTCCGATTTTTTTGTTTTTAAAAGAGTTAGGCGGAAAAAGGGACAGGTGCAAAAAAGTAACCACAATGAAATAAATATAAAATAACAATTACAAATTATTTCAAAGGGAAGCAGACCATAAACCGTGTGAAATGCTTAATGATGTAACAGCGGTGAAGTAAACACTTTCGGACAACTCATTGCCAGCTCATTTACATCCTCCTTTTCATTTTCATTCATTACTTTATCTACTTTACCACAACCAATCAGAGACGCAAAAAAAAAAAAAAAAAAAAAAAAAAAAAAACAGGAGTTATGCAATTAATGTTGGCACAACTTAAAACATGTTCTGGCCGTAACCATGATTATGGGCGTACCGAAAAAGCTCTCGCTGAGCGTACGTGATCGAGTAGTAAACTTCACATGGAGCAGATAAGAATGCCGTGAGAGAGGGAAATACTCTCCCCCCGTGAAGCCATACGTGCCCGTCGCCATTGACGGCGTTATCTTGTGCAAACACGGCTACAACACCTACCCAATCAAAGGTGATCATGCGTCTAATATATTTACGAAGAACTGATCGTGTCTGCATGCACGTAAACTACAGAGCCACTTGCCATACTTTTCAACCTTTTTTTTTTTTTGTTAAACTACTTTTCAACTTTTGCATATAGTTTCTTCAATTACAACTTTTTCGGGTGACTCACAATTCATATAATACACGCGGTTTCAACTCCCGTTTTATTCGCTTTGTAACTAACTATAGTCGAGTATCATCGGGAGACGATCCACACCATCTATCACCTCCGACACAAGACAGGTCAATGAGAAGTATCTTATACTCACTGCAGAGTCCGACGAATACAATCATGAATGAATATCTCCAACATTGGTATCGTTTAAATTAGGTCACTGGTTCTACTTTTGCCCGCTTTGCGCATGGGAATCCCTTTTTGTATGCAACATTTTTTGATCTTAATCCAAACTGGATCACGGCTGCACCCCCAAAAAAGAAAAAAGCTCTGAAAAGCCAAATGAATCTCTAACCTCAGAAGATACTTTGGACTATTCCCCTCTGGCTCAGGTACGTGATAAAATGGATCACCATATGGAATCTCGTGCACCATCATCATCTAGATTCCTTTCTATCCTTCCACACTAATGCTATGTTCAGGAGAAGCTATATGTGTTTTGTCCTTAGACTCTGATTTCATTCAAACCATCCATGATCAAGAAACAAAAGGTTCCAACTTAATACCAATATATAAGATAAGAGCATGTCATGTAATCCAACAACGCTCCAGAAGTCATAAACTTGCAAAATAAACGCACCGTAAAGGAGCTGGGAGCTATTTGTGTACGGGGGATGGTTTTGCCACTGTGCTAATGGCTTTGCTAGATTTGGTAATATCTTAAACCTTGAAACCTCGGCTCTTTCTCCTACCTCGAGCTCTCTCAAACTTTCTGCCCTTTGAACGAACGTAGGGTTTGGTGTGGCTGTGAGGAACACCAGGAGCAGGTCCAAAGTGCTTCACGGCTTCACGTGCATTCTTCGGGCCTCTCAGTAGAACCTGAATCATCCCGCCCATCATTTTAAAAACCAACAGTAATCACTCCAATACATAGCCTAGAGTACAGAATGTCTAACACATGAGAAGCCTGGAAAACAAATGAGGTAAACAGTACACAGCCATATATAACGTAAAGTCGGGGGAAGACATGCCATGTTACGAAAGCAATGACATCCCTACCGTATTTTCTAACACAAGAGTACATTAAACAAGTTTTACTGCTGTACAGCTGCCGACTTTCCATTCAATAACTAAATTGATACTGCAATGATATTACTGAATGCCACCAAGAAACTAAATTAAGCAAGCCTTGTTACACTGACTGAAATCGAATAAGGAGATACTATATGCAATGTATACCGTGTTCTGGCCAAGAGGGGCGCGAAGAGCCAGCTGATCAAATGTGAGGCACTCCCCACCAGCCTTCTCGATCCTGGCTCTCGCCCTCTCCGTGAATCTCAATGCAGTGATCTTAAGAGCTGGGACTTCATACACTCTAGCATCATCTGTAACAGTGCCAACGATAACGCCAATATTGTCCTCCTATTCAATCCAACCCGAAAAAAGAAAACACTCAATTTAGTTCACATGACACCAGAACCGAACAATACATCATCCAGACACAAAAAGGAAGTACCTTTCCCTCCATGTACCGGATCAAACGTGAGAGAGACAATGGCGGCTTGTTCACTTTACTCATGAACAAGCGCTTCAGAATCACAGCATTGAACTTGCTTCCGGTTCTCCTCACTAGAAACCGATACAGCTAATCACCCACCGCGAAAATCCAAAAGACTCAGATCGTGAGTATATCATAAAGGATGGACAAATGTAGCGACGATTTCGAAAATTGCAGGTAACAGCGACAACAGATCAAAGCCAGAAAGACATGAAAAAATCGAAGAGAGAAACTCAAACTCAAAGCGTACCTTGACGAGGAGCTTGAGATAGACATCGTCAGACTTAGGCGCAGTGCGCTTCGTCTTCTTGCTCTTACCTCCGGCCTTCAAATCGATACCCTGAGAGGAAACAGAAGTGAGAGACCGAAAAAAACCCGAAAAAGAACAAGAACACGAGATCAGAAACGTCTAATGCAAAGGTTTCAAATGTATAGGACAAGAAGCATACCATTGTTGCAGGGAGTGGCGAAGCGGCTCGGGACCTTCGACTGCTGAAGAAGCTAATGCCCGAAAGATGAGTCAGCTAGGGTTTTTAGGAGGTGTCCAGAGACCATTATTGGGTGCATGCGAGGGTAAGAATGTTGATGTTAACTTTATCCTAACCATACACGTGTAACCAAGAAGACAATATTCACCGTTGATTTGACTGTGCTTTCATTCAATCTCTAAACGACAGCGTCTAGAGAACAGCCCATGAAAAACCTTTCGGGCTATTTAAAGTTTCACATTTAGGCCTAGGGCTTTACCCACAGAAATCTGTGCCTGCGAAGTCTCCGTTTGCGACCTAAAACCTCACCATTCCTTGTTTCCCGGCTAGCGTTTTGGCTGTGTTCATCGCCGGAGAGTCGGAGTTCGTAGAAGATGGAGATGCCTGAGGCTAATCAAGGCGCAGAGATTCATTCTAATCAGACGATCTACATCAACAATCTCAACGAGAAAGTGAAACTCGATGGTGATCAATTTCTTCATTTCTATCGTCATACTTTCCGCTTTTTTCTCGGGTTTATGGCGTTGAAGTCTGATCTATAGCTTGGTTTTTGTTCTGGAATTTTTTCAGAGCTGAAGAAATCGCTGAATGCAGTGTTCTCGCAGTTCGGTAAGATACTGGAGGTGTTGGCGTTTAAGACACTGAAGCACAAAGGACAGGCATGGGTGGTGTTCGATAAAGTAGAATCTGCATCTAACGCTATTGCCAAAATGAATGGTTTTCCCTTCTACGACAAGCCCATGGTAAGTTTGACCTCGATTATACTGGTGCACCCTTGAGCTTTTGTAGCTATTGGATTTATTTTGTTGTTGGATCCATTGTTGGTGGTTTAGTTTCCCGGAGCTCGTGGGATCTATATTGGAGCTATGTTCTAAAATTTTCAGGCACTGTAAATTTGGTAATGATAAGTTTTAGGTTGAAGTTTGTAGCAATGTGGATTTGTTGGTATTGAGGAGTTGCAGTAGGTTAAACTTAGTCTGTCAGTAATAGGTGCTTAGGTTGATATTGGGGATCCTTGTTATTGGGAGTAGTATTTGAAATACCACTGAAAGGCCCTTGGAACCAAATCTTAGAATTAGAATCCGGTTTTGATATTTGCTTTTGCACTGCTCTGGGTGGGGATGATCGTCTCTTCCCATTTCTGGGTTTCTGGTGGTTGCCTTCTATCCTAGACTCTGCCAGAAAACTTATTGAACAAATAATGAAGAATATTGTTTCTTACTTCACAGAGAATACAATTTGCCAAAACGAAATCGGATATCATTGCCAAGGGCGACGGTACTTTTGTTCCTCGTGAGAAAAGAAAGAGACACGAGGAGAAAGGTGAGACGCCAAAGTTCTCTTTTATTCATTCCTAGCTTTTGTCTGCCCCTTGGGGAAAAGCTGCCTGATATTTGGGTGATCTTTTGTCAAAGAGGTCAAAATCTGATTTCTATAACCTAAGCATCATATTTTTTGCAATCTAAAAGTCTTTGAAACCACAGGAGGGAAAAAACGGAAAGATCAGAATCTTGTTCCTTCTCAGATGATTGCTGCCGCAGGATATCCAGGCGTCTATGGTGCTGTACCTCCGGTGAGCAATCTAAACTCCTTTAATCTCTGTGTCCCCCAACTGTGTCTGGCATTTCTGGATCTAGGGCTCATTTTTCATGTCCAAACTGTTCTAATTTCGCCTTCTTGCAGCTCTCACGAGTAGCTTACCCGGGTAGTATAAGACCAGTTGTGCCCGAGGCTCCAGCTCCGCCAAATAATATCCTGTTTGTTCAGAACCTTCCCCATGAGACAACCCCGATGATGCTGCAAATGTTGTTCTCCCAATATGCTGGTTTTAAGGAGGTTAGGACAGTGGAAGCAAAACCGGGCATTGCCTTTGTGGAGTTTGGAGATGAGATGCAGTCGACGGTGGCGATGCAGGGACTTCAGGGTTTCAAGATTCAGCAGAACCAAATGCTCATCACTTATGCCAAGAAATAGACATCTTAGATGTGTTGAATCTCAATGATCTGTGATCCAGTATCTTTTAGTTTGGTTGATACATTCACATGTAATTGAGCTGCTGTTTCTTAGAAGTTTAGATGGTTATTTATAGTTATACACGGATTAATGTAGTTTAAAGCGCGAAACAAAGGCCTGTTTGGGGCATTTCATTGTGTCATTGTTTCTATTTGTGTTTTGTCATCAGTCACCACAATCAGCATGAGAGAGCGGTCGGTCGCGTGAAGCTCTCTCGCGGGCAAACATGGAAACAGAGCCGCCTCTGGCGGAAATTGCATCGGTGTGGCCGCCGCCGCCGCCGCCGGCTCCGGCTCGTAATTTGCCATGCCTTGATCTCTCTCTTCCCCCCATTGGGGAATCAATCCAATCCCGTGGGGAGGCCAATGGAATATTTTCCTAAATGGGCCGATAGGCCCATTGTCCATATTTCCAAGGAAGCCCCCCACCCTTGCGTATTTCCAGAAATCACAGCACTTGCCACTGTAGCGCGAGCATTCCGACCAGCCAGCCGGCAAAAATATCGGCATTTTCATTTTGCGGTTTCTTTCTTTTTCCGGGAAGAAAAATTTGAATTTGGACGGTATTCAATTTCCCATCTCTTTCTCGGTTCCCAAACACGATGTTGCACGAGCTTCTACTGGCTCTCCTCGGCTACACCGGCGATCTCATCGTCGACGAGCGTGAGCAACGCAAATCCCTAGGACTCTCCTTTCCCTCCGATGCTCCTCTCTCAGATGAATGCACCTTCAAGCTCGCCCCAGATATCTCCTTCATTGAACCCAGTGAGAGGTCGTATTTCTTCGCGGTTTCTCTCTGTTGCTCCTTGCTCGTAATTCAATTGATTTTGATTCATGTGATTCTCGTTCTCTGCAGAGATGTGATTGAAAGTTTGATCCAGCTTGGGTTTTACTATCGGGAGCTCGACCGTTTTGCGGCTAAGTCTCGGAATTTGAGTTGGATAAGGTCCGTTACGAGCGTGGATCAGGTGGAACGGACTGCTGAACTATCGAAACAGAGGAAGGAGAAGGCAAGTGTTTACCGCAGAGCTATTGCTAATGGAATTGGAGAGATTCTGTCGATCTACAGATCTGCTGTTCTTCACATTGAGCAGAAGCTGTTGTCAGAGACGACGCCTATATTGGCTACTGTTACACAAGGGCTCAATAAGGTTAGGAATTTCGTTTTTGGTTTCTCATTCGTTCAAGTCATGACTAGATTACGGGATTTTTACTTGAGTATGCGTTGATTGGAACCTTTTGAATCTATCCCGTGTTTGTAGTTTTTTGTTCTTTTCAAACCCCTGTATGAGGTTGTTCTCGAGATTGAGCGTGATGATATGCGTGGAGGGCAGCTACTGAATCTATTGAATAAAAGATGTCACTGTGGAGTGCCTGAATTGCGAACCTGTCTTCAAAGGTAACACCCATCTTTCTCCTCATCCCGACCCTTACCACACGAACTGAGATTTTGTTTGGTTATACCATAGTTCAGTTTCTACCCTCTTGGACACTTATCATCCAAATTCTGTGCTCATGCATAGGCTACTTTGGCATGGACATCAAATCATGTATAATCAACTTGCTGCATGGATGATTTATGGAATTCTTCAGGATCCTCATGGAGAATTTTTTATCAGGAGGTAACTGTGAATCTACGTTCTTCTCCATTTGATCCACAGATTCGAATTCGGTGCTTTCTTCTTAGGCTCTATATCTCTGTTAGTGTTTCTCATGATATCTTTGATTATAACTCTTAGATAAGTAACTAGATTGGTGTATACTAAAGCTGACATTTGATGACACCGCAGTCTTTTAGAGTTGAGAACTGAGGCTGCTGTAAAAATGAGACATTATGGCACTTCTTTTATAATCCCTGGATTTTACTGCACTCTGTTTTCTGTTTGTCCTTTTGTGATGTAAATATAGCACATTTCTGTTTTGTTTGCAGGCAGGATGGTAGGGATTTAGACCATGGTTCTCCGGAAGATATATCTCAAAAGTTAGCTCGTACCTCCATTCATGACACATCTTTAACCGATTGGCACTCTGGATTTCACATTTCTTTGGTATGATTTACTTGGTGCTTCCTATTTGGCTTCATCCGTCTATACTCTATTATTTATTGATGTTTCTGTGCTTATTTTGCAGGATATGTTGCCTGATTATATTCCTATGCGTCTGGCCGAGTCAATTCTGTTTGCCGGAAAAGCCATCAGGGTCTTACGGAATCCCAGTCCTGCATTCCAGTTCCAGAAGAACAAGAATCATCAGCAGACACTGCATGGTTCCCAGAGAATTCAAGGATCTATGCATAGTTTAACCACGGAGAAGGAGATGCAGTTAGATGGAGATCTTACGAGAGAAGAATTACTTCCACAAACTGAGGCTGACAAGATTGAGGCCATGCTCAAAGATCTGAAGGTTGTGGTTTAGAGCCTGTTTTTATGGGTCTCTGTGTATGACAGTACTCGGCTTTTCTCCTGATATCACAATGGAGCTGAGATCGGATGCTCAATTTTTCTTTTTATATGTGCAGGAATCATCTGAATTTCACAAAAGATCGTTTGAATGTGCCATTGATTCGGTTCGAGCTATAGCAGCCAGCCATCTTTGGCAGGTGCTTAACGAGACATGCTATGTCTCTATGATCTTATGGATGATTATTTTGTGACATTAGCTTCGTTTGTGCAGCTTGTCGTTGTGCGTGCTGACCTCAATGGCCATCTTAAAGCTCTGAAAGACTATTTTCTCTTAGCAAAAGGGGATTTCTTCCTGGTAAAACACTGAGTATCTGTTGTCCACTCTATCTGGGAAACATGATTGCTGCTCACTTTTGTTCATATCTGATACTGGTGGACTTTTTCATTTCAGTGTTTTCTGGAGGAAAGTCGTCAATTGATGCGTCTGCCGCCTCGCCAGTCTACGGCTGAAGCTGATCTTATGGTTCCATTTCAATTGGTATGTTTAGAGGAACTTTCATGATAACACCTCATCGTCTGGTCGAGTATTAGTGCTGGTAAATTCTCTTTTTTTGCAATACAGGCTGCTATAAAAACTATTTGCGAGGAAGACATATATTTCTCTAGGGTGTCCCTACGGTCAGTAAATCATCGAGTTCTCTTTGATGATTTTTTGTATAGCCTTTGCGCTAAGTGGGGAGAAAACATTATTAGTTACTTCCGCCCTAATGCCCCTTGATGGCTGTTTTAATCACTTCTGTTCAGGATGCCGTCATTTGGAGTCACAGTCAGATCCTCTCAAGCAGACCTGCAGAAATCTAAAGCATCCCTCTCTGGGAAGTCGACCGTTGCACCCTTAAACACTACATCTGACGTGTCCGTTGATGGCTGGGATGCCATCTCTCTTGAATATTCTGTCGATTGGCCCTTGCAATTGTTTTTCACCCAAGAAGTGCTTTCTAAGTAAGAAATCTCTCCCCCTGCTCTGTCCGGGTTTCTTCCACATCATTTTTCCTTATGAATTCATTGGCTACTTGTACTGCCCGAGCTTCACTTGAAGATTACATATAAGATGCTTTGGTTCTGACAGAGACAAATTTGTTTTAGGTACCTTAAGGTATTCCAGTATTTGTTACGGCTAAAGAGAACTCAGATGGAGTTGGAGAAATCATGGGCTTCGGTAATGCATCAAGATCACATCGATTTTTCTCAACACCGCAAAGATCGTGCAAATGGATCAACATCTCAGCAAAGACGACAAGGAATCAGACCAATGTGGCGAGTTAGAGAGCACATGGCCTTTCTGATAAGGAATCTGCAGTTTTACATCCAGGTTTGATTTCGGATGAGTTTCAATGTTCCACCAAATCCGTGTAAATCATGTTGAAGAAACTAGAAGGTTTCGTCTCTCTTGTCTTAGGTTGATGTGATAGAATCTCAATGGAAGGTATTGCAAGCTCATATCCATGATTCTAATGACTTCACCGAACTGGTCGGCTTCCATCAAGAGTAAGTATAGTTTGATTCCCTCTCTCTATCAAGTGTTTTCAAATTACAAGGTTAACCCACTGTACTACACAAATGCAGGTATCTATCTGCTCTTATCTCTCAGTCATTCCTGGACATTGGTTCTGTCTCAAGGATACTCGACAGTATCATGAAACTCTGCCTCCAGTTCTGCTGGAACATTGAGAATCAAGAAAGCAGTCCAAACACTTCCGAACTTGAAAACATAGCCGAGGTCCATATTCGTTATCCATTCACTGCTTGCATCGGTTGAGTGCCCTTTTCATAGTTTTTCTAATGTTTCATACCCGCAGGAATTCAACAAGAAATCAAATTCCTTGTACACAATACTACGCAGCAGCAAGCTGGCCGGGAGCCAGCGGGCCCCATTCTTGAGGCGTTTTCTGTTACGTCTGAATTTCAACTCCTTCTACGAGGTAAGCTGGAGAAGAACCTTAAAATGATATTTTGTGGGTCGAGATTCGCGTTTCTGACTAGCTCCTCCTTTCCTAATCACAGGTGACTGCGAGGGGTGTATTGAACGTTGTGAGGCAACGCCCATCTCTTCCTTTATGAATTAATCCTCTGAATTTCAGACAATGACTTCCACTGATTGACGAGTCTCTCGTTTAAGGTGTCTGTCTGCAAGTCGAGTTGCAATATATGTAAGGCTACTCTGTATATATATATATATATATAATATCAAAGAAAGATGTTGATTGCCTTTAAGAGGAAGACATTATGTTTAACAGTTGAAGTGCCCTTTGGAATTTCTTTTCCAATGGAAATAATCTTTTATTATTATATGAACCAATTTAACAGGTCTATTTGCGATTTCTGGGGGCAGTCTTGTAAAACAAAAGTAATGGGCCTAAAAGGATAAGTATCTGAAATTGAGGGGCTTGGAGATAAATATCTGAGTTTCCTCAATGTTTCGAAACTCATAATTTTTTGGACCTTGTAATTGTTTTTTAATCTTCGGTCACGCGAGAGATTCATACGAATCCCAAACGATTCGGAGCGGATCGATTGTTCCGTCAGTGTAGAAGGGACATGGAGGCTACTGATCCGATCTGGAAAGAGCCAGAACTCGAGCTCTACACCGTTCCTGCTCAATCAAGTATGTCTTTCTCCCCATCCTTTCGCTGCGACCATTGCTTCTCTCTCCCTCTTTTAACCCTTGCGTTTATTCGCTGGCTCTCTTCGGCTCGTCAAGTTCTTTTAACCCGAAGCTTTCCTTTCACTGTTCGGAAATTTGATGGACAACGAACCATAGAGGTTTGTTATGGCCCTTAGGGTTTTGTTTGGTCGGACGAGATATCTTCGTCCTGAGAGATGCTCTCATTGGAATTTGGTTTTACCTCGAACACTGTTCGTACCGTCCTTTCCAGAAATGCGTAATGGGAGCGAATTTTCGTTAAACGTCGAACTAGGAATAGCGGGTTAGATGCACGAACTCGCCGGGATTGATCTTGAATATTGAAGTTTTTTTTCCTAGCGTTTATAATGTGAAACCAGAAGAAGGGTTTTATGCTAAAATCATCGAGATTTCATAGGAATTTGTTCTGTTCATAGGTTGGTTCTCATGGGATGATATACATGAAATAGAGAGACGTGCATTTGAGGAGTTCTTCAGTGGGAGCTCGATCACTAGAACTCCCAAAATATACAAGGAATATAGAGATTTCATCATCAACAAGTACAGGGAGGACCCTTCAAGGAAGCTCACGTTTACAGCCGTTCGGAAGTATCTGGTGGGCGATGTCAATTTGCTACAGAAGGTGTTTCTCTTCCTAAAAAAATGGGGACTGATCAATTTTGATGCGTCGAAGAGCAGTGACGACACATTGGTGGAGATTGAGGAGAAGCAAAAGGTTAAAATTGAGGAAGGAACTCCTGCTGGGGTTCGTGTCACTGCAACCCCAACTTCGCTAAGGCCTATTACCTCACCTCCCTACACTGTGGATGTGAATGAGCAAAGGCCCGACACTGGCAGTAAGTTGCCGCCTTTGACGTCTTATTCAGTTGTCTTCAACGATTTGAGGAAGCCATATGTGTTGGTTTGTGGGAGTTGTGGAGAGCGAAGTGATTCTGCTCACTATGAACACGTCAAGGTAACGCGAATTCTACTTATGATAAAACATTCAAGAAGATGGAGGTTGCTGCTTTGGTGTTGAATTGTTTTAGTAAATCTTTTGCTGTAAGTTGGTTATATCTGCTCTTTGGTTTAATTAAATTGATAATGTGGTAGTTGGCTGACGGTTGGCTGACGGTGTATGCATCCATTGGTTGCTTATTTGCTGTTCTGCTTTTGGTGGGTTGTAGTCATTTAGTTTTCCTGCTATTCTAGTTTGGGTACTACTAAGAGTATTTCTTAGCAACACCTTCATAGTACCTTAGGTCTTTTGCAGCTGGGAATTTGTATCATTGTTGTGGTGAATTATATAGTTGTGAAGTATATAATTTTTCCGTGTCTGGTCCCAGTTTTTAATTCGCTTCTTGACATTTGTGTGTTGCCAGAGTAGTATCAGCATCTGTGAAAAGTGTTTCAAGAGTGGAAAGTACGGGGAGAACAACTCTGAAGATGATTTCAAGTTAATGGACTCAGTCGGGGACAAGAACCCTGCTGGAGCTGTGTGGACAGAGGAAGAGACACTTCTCCTGCTAGAGTCAATGCTGAAACACGGGGACGATTGGGAACTCGTTGCGCAAAGTGTTCCTACAAAGAGTAAACTAGATTGCATATCTAAGCTCATTGAGCTCCCCTTTGGAAATGTTCTAATGGGTTCAGCATCCGGAAGAGATAACTCGTCTATCTCCCCCCGTAGCATCAATGACCCCAAAGGACGGCAGTTTTCTCCTTCTCGTCCCTCTGAACAAATGAAATCCGAAGGTCAAGACCACGAGCAGACCAATGAGAGGGAAGAAAAGGGAGATACTGTAGATGAAGAAGAGCCGCCAGCAAAACGGAAACGTGTTGCTTCACCCCTAGATGCTACTGGTAATTCACTTATGAAACAGGTAAACGTTTTTCGTAACATTGTGCCACCCCATTTTTCTGTTTCTTCGTTATCCACATATTTACTTCATAAGATTTCATAGTCGTTGAAGGACCTTTCTCAAGGGTTTTCCTCTACATTACCCAGAGATATATTCATGCCCTTTAGTGCCTTCCTCTAGACTCTCTTACCAAATGGAATCTTGAATTTCATCTTTAAATGTTTCCTGACAGGTTACGACAATGGGAACTAGTGTTGGCCCAGCTGCCACAAAAGCTGCAATTGCAGCACTTTGTGATGAAGCCTCTTGTCCGAGGGAGATGTTAACAGACAGTGGTGATTGCGAGGATCTTACGGTTAAAAGTCATCAGTCGTTGATCCCAGAAAGGTTTGCTTTTTTTTAGACTTTCCTATTTCGTATCAGCTGAAGCAACATTGTCAAGTCTAAAACTTCTTGGTATATGACATTGCCACAGAGCTGATGGAGACAAAGATACCGAGAAAGAGGAACAGCGAACAGACTATGGTAACTGCGGTTAAGACTCTATATGCATTCTTGACTTCTGAAAAGATGTTCCATTCAATACCTTTTCTGATGGGCAAAAGCTGGTCAACTTACTAAGAGCCTTTATATATCTGCAGAAGAACCTCAAGAAGCATCGTCAATGGAGGATTTACCTTTAGCTCTACGGATAAGAACATCTGCGGCAGCAGCTCTGGGAGCAG